AATAAAATGTATTTCCAGTGCAGATAGTAACTATAGATGTAAGTGAGTCTAGACCATTCCTGCTATTATTTTTGCTGCCCATCCCTGATTGTCTTTCCAAAGCTACTTTATATGTATGGATGAAATCTCCTGGGCCACTGCAGGTGGTTATTTAATCCAAGCTCTGTCCACCAATTTAGATGGCTTTGAAGGAGGATTTGACAAATTAAAGGAGGACAAGGCCATCAACGCCTCCTTGCCTTGATAACAGTATACTATCTTTAGGATCAGGAACACTATGCCTCTGAATACCAGTTGCTGAGGAGCAACAGTGAGCGAGAGCTGTCATATTCATGTCTTGCTTATGCCTGACCCAGCCACTGGGAGAAAGCAGATGCTGGTCTGATCCAAATAGGATCTTGTGTTTCCTATGGCAGGAGAGGGCAGAAAAAGCAGCAGATGGATTTAGGAGGCAGCTAATAATAAAGATGCTCTTCTACCAATTTGCAGAATCTTTTCTACTTGTTGAGTCTGCTACCTACCCACCAAGTCTAGGGATGATCAAGAGGAGTGGCCAAATCAGCATAGTGCAGTAGGTAAAGGTAGGGAGGCGGGTGGCGCTGCGGTCTAACTCACTGAGCCTCTTGGGCTGGTTGATCAGAAGGTCAGTGGTTCAAATCCGTGCAACAGTGGTGAGCTCCCATTGCTCTGTCCCAGCTTCTGCCAGCCTAGCAATTCGAAAGCACACCAGTCCAAGTAGATAAATAGGTACCACTGCAGCGGGAAGGTAAATGGCATTTCGGTGCACTCTGGCTTTCATTACAGTGTTCCGTTGCACCAGAAGCAGTTTAGTCATGCTGGCCACATGATGCAGAAAGCTGTCTGTGGACAAATGCTGGCTCCCTCAGCCTAAAAGTGAGATGAATGCCACAACCCCATAGTCGCCTTTGACAGGACTTAACCGCCCATGGGTACTTTACCTTTTTACCTTAGTGCGGGATGAGAGGGAAAGTGTGCACAAGGGAAAGATGAGGCTTGTAGATTGGGCAGGGAAGTTAAGGGAACAGAACAGTGGTCCAGCTCTACAATTCTGTGATTCTGTGATTCTGATATTAAAGGGGTGTAGCAGCATCTTGGTTTGGAAAGACCAGCTAATGTTATAAAGCAAGCACTAGATGGCAGTGTAATCTACCAATAAAGCACTGCAAACCAGTTTTAAGGAAGCATTGATAGGATTATTCAATGGATTAATTATTGCATTACTTGAAGATTTTTTTAAAAATGCAATTTTAACCTAATTTTAATTAGACATTACCCTGTCAAGTCACGTTTGATCATGGTAGTATGACTTAAAATGATCGGTAGGCATTTTTTAAAATAAAAATGTAGACAATCTCTTGGATGAAATATTAATCTGTAAAATGATCTGTACCAACAAAACACACACACCACACAACACTTTTATCTCAAGTATATTCTTTTAAATACCTTCCTAATATTATCTTTACAATGTAACATTCCTTTTAATTTGCTCATTATGTTGGTAAGAATGGGTAGCCAGGGAGTTAATTGATCAGAGCAATTGTAACATGCTGACAGTTCTAATTTCAAGAAACAGAAGTAAAAAAAACACCAACCACATTTCTGGGGGATTCTGTATCCAAGACCACATTCTGCTTCAAGGTAACGTGAGCCAGAGAGCTGCAGCTCATTTGCATGTTTTTGTGTATTCATAATTAACCAAAACTGCATAAAAGTTGCATGAACATGGTGGACATGTTGCACTCCTGTGACACCATCTGTGCAGTTTGCAGTGTGAAACTAGAAGGAGAAGCTCTTAGTATGTGTTGGGATATTATAGCCTTTAAAATTTACTAAGTGGGAGGAAATGGAAATGCTGGCTAAAATCTATATATACTGGATATAAGAAACATCCAAATGCTTTCAAAATATTTTAAAAGAGCCTGCATGCACTTGGTGCAGGCATTGCTTGGTGTTATGCCTGCGAGGTCAAAGTGTAAAATGTGTAACGAAGTTCCTGAACGTATAACAAGGCTCAGATCCACACAGGCATCCTCATATCTTCTAGGATAGAGCTTTCCAAACTGTTTGTCGTGACACGTTAGTGTGTTGGCTGCAGTGTGTAGATGTGTCACGTGAATGCTCCTCCCAGGGCTGGAAAGGGATGAGTTTAACCTGAATTAGTTAAAACTGAATTACTGTGTCATGGAATGATGCATGTCTAAAAAATGTGTCACCAACATTAAAAGTTTGGGAAGCTCCGTTCTAGGATCTACAGCAACAGGGGATGAGGCTAGGAAGTACCGTAATCTTGTGTTAGGAGAAAAGCAGTCATGTGAATCAATATTTTGAGTTGTAGGACAACTGAAACCTCTCATTTTGCTAACCTCAAAACAACTCTTAGAAATTGTGAGCCTGAAATATAGCCTAGACTGAAATTCCTAATTGTTTACTGCAGATTTTGGAGCAGAAACGCCTATCACATATCCTTTACGTTCGCCTATGTAATCAAAGAGGCTGGAAACTTGCATTTTTATACTGAAAGCTGAGATTCTGGGTGTCATGTCTAGTTTGCCTCTAAGGCTGTACAAAACTTCATTAGGCACTCATGAGCTGTTAATATTCTCTTGCTGCTCATATTCTTGTGAGCAGTACAAAATGAAGTTTTATACCGCCTTAAGAAAAAACTAGAGTTGACACCATTCATGCAAGTAGCAAAGTAAGTTGCAGGCATGCCCACCCTGCAATGCAGATTAGGATCCTGGTGTGACTTTAGCAAATTGCAGTCTTGATCTGGATGTTGGGGCACATGTGCTATTTGTACTGGGAAGGGGATGCTCTCATTGGAGCAAACAGAGCAAATAGTATATGTTGCAGCTCATCCTAGATAATTTTTGGTACACACTTGAGATCTCTTCTCTCCTTTGGGGTGGTTCACACAATCAAATGGCCATGATGAGAATGAAAATTGGTTTGTGCATGTGCTCTCATCATGTTATTACTGAACTCCTTGGTGATTAGCAGCTGAATCCGTGAACCGGCTTACTGAAAATAATTTCATGTGAGTTGATGTATGGTGTTAGGTCAATGATGGATATGCAGATTTACTCAGACTTAAGCCTCACTGGGCTCAGAATGACTTACTCCCATGTATGTGAGCAGAGGACTGAGACTGTAGTCACTGGTTAACTACCTTGTTCTAAATACTCTTGTAACATTCTGTTGGGTGAAGAATTCTGCATGATTTCTAAAGCTTCTATAGCAACAGAACTTGGTCTAGTTAAAGGTATTGTTTTGCATTTGTTTGACTTGGACCAAATGGGCAACAGCTGTTTAAAATGCATTTCTTCTTAGTGCACAAGTGAACAAACAAAAAGAAAACACAAATTAACTCTAAATTAATTATAGCTAAAGAATACAGTGTGAGTGCAAAGAATAAGGAAGTGGCTCTGCATTATGTCAGTCTGATAGACACAGCTTCATAGATCAAGATTCATAAATCATAATGCTAAACGCCTTCTTCTTGATCTAAGAATGCTCATTTTGGGCAGATGCGATAATGCTAAATATAAGGGCTGAAACCCAAAACATAATTAGTCAATGGAGTTCAAGCCCCCTCTATGCAGAATTTGGTCTGTTGTCTTTAATTGGTATACAAAATCAAATGTTCCTATCCTAGAAAAAGAAAGGATAACAATATCACAAAAGCACATTCTTTTGGATTTTAAATAACTCCTTAGTTAATGGATGGCTGTATTTGTCTCATTTGGAGTTTTTAGCAATATTTTAAAGGCATGAGTTTTGATATTTCAGATGAATCTCAAAGTATCGGCAAAATAAAACTTAGCCTGTGAGCTTCCTTTTCTGCCTGAAGTTCCCCATAATCCAATACTACTTCACATATTCATTAAACACTTCTGACTTTCTTTTACAATTAACATTTGTGTTTCCTGTAATATGATCTCTGCAAATGGGCTGAGGTTCCCTGGGATACATTAAAAGATTGAAACCATAAATTTTGTGCAGGATTATTAAAGCAAATGGTTGTATAGAAAATCTATTTCTCTCTCTCTCTCTCTCTATCTCACAAAAAACCACCTGCTCTTTGCATGTCATGTGAAAGGTCAGAAAAGAATAAGTCTGCAATGTGTGAAAAATGGAATTTATTAAAATGTATACTTTAAGCATTTGCAGGAGTTAACCATATTTTTGAATAAGATCCTTCCACTATCCTTCTCTGATGAGTTTACTGTAGCTTGAGACACAATGTTTTCTGTTCATATTCCATTTTTCACATATTGTGGGCTTCTTATTTTTACTAGTATTTACTGATAAGATGCTATACTCATGCAGTGTTATGCTACATAGAAATCAGATTCCTCAGAGTACAATTTCAGTACTTGTTTTGCTAGTTTCCCATTGATAAAATGATTCCCAAGATCATAATGTTAGCGGTGCAAAGCATCAAACACACCATAATTCAGTCCCTGCATGAAAAGGCTGTAAACTTGAATGAGCAGGGGAAAGCGGAAAAAAGAATATATCTGTTTTGCAAAATTATCATAATCTTACTTTACTGTAAGGTTCAATGCAACTTCTGTTGATGAAGTTGAATACAGTAGAACACATTTCTGAGCTGAGCTTGCAGGATTAAATATATATAATTTGCAACGTGGGTGGTCTTAACTGACACACACAACAATCATTTAGAAGTATCCCCACTTGCCTTCTGAAAGTGGTCTCTACATTCTTCCTATTTTAGTTCCATCTCACTAATTCCAGTTGTGAGGTGGAAAATTATTAATGCTGGCAGTGATTGCAGATTGCAGTGTTCTCTGGTTTGTCTCTGAACTGAAACCAGTTTCTTCAGGGAGGTGGAAAAAATCTTGCATTGCACCCAGACTTTGCATTGCACGAAGAGGGAGACTTTCTGTATTCTTAAAGCATCCAGGCTGCTTCCAGTGACTAAGCCTTTGGCTGTTCAAGTGGCTAAAATCAAATCAGTCCTTCATGCTGGAAAAAAGAGGCATTTGTCTACAGGGAGGAAATAGCTTGTAAAGGTAACATAATAGGGACCAGCAGCCAGGTGTTGAAAATTTACTTGCAAGGTTTTACAGTGCCTTATATCTTGCAGCACTGTGCACCTTAAATCTTGACAATCTGGAAAGCTAAGACAAAGTTTAAAAGAGGTCTTAGGTTTACATTTCTGTGAAATACGCACCACACACAGAGAGAGGACTTTGACTTCCCCAGGAAAGCATGGACTTGGTTCACTCAAAGTCCAGTTGAAAGCATTGAATCAGCTGAGAGGTGCTATTGCCTTAAAAATGCCATCCACTCTGGTCTCCCCTTATCATAGAATACAGAGCAGAATGGGCAGGTGAAACGATGCAAGAACTGGAGCATAACACCAGGACCTCTTTTAACTTTGAAACATCTCAAGACCTGAGGTTGCTATGTCTTTATTTTATGCTAAGGATTTGCCAAGAGCACATCTACACGTGAGCCTCCTGAGTTTCATTTGTGTTGTAGCACACAAGTAGAAATGCAGGAAGAAAAACTTCTGGATATAAGCACACTTGCGTGTCATTGGGTTTCTGGGGTTTTTTTATCTGATTTTTTATTGAAAAATTGGTTAACTACACATCCAAAAGCTTTAATAAATCATCACCATCATCTACACTTAACTAGTTTACTCTGAATCAGGGAAGAGTTGAAGATTATGATGCATATCAGGGAAGCTCATGAAAAATACTATAAATTGTAGGTGCCTGTGATGGTATGGTTCTGAATAGACAACACTGGCTGGATTTGCATATAAACCATGGCTACTCACTGAAACCTTGGTTTATTACATCACAGAATAGTTAAAAGGCACCAGTGAGAGCAGCCGAGCCATGAAAGCAGTTTGAACTTTTTGCCACCCTTCGCTCTATAACCTTGGGGTCAATGCTGGATCCGTAAACAAAGTTAAGGAGGAGGTCCAGGTACACGTGTAACACTAAGTTGTGGTTAACATGAACTAAGGTTTATGGACCAGCTTCAGACTTTGGTTAACTAGCAATCATAAACCATAATTAAGAAAGCTTAGTTAAGCTGCTGGGTGGGTTTGCATATGCTGCTAAGCCATGGTTTAATAAACCACAGTTTAGCATTACATGTAAAGCAGGCCACTGAAGACAATTATTTAAGTGCTACAGTCCCTTCTACATCTCCCTACAACTAAACTATAGCTCCTCCCCTTAGGCATGCTAAACAGTGGCTGCTGTTTGAATGTCTGGCAGGGAGATTGGCAATATGGCAAATGAGATTCTGTGTAAATAATTGCACAGGGGAAATCAGTGGAAACATTAAATCAGGATATGGCGATACTGAAAAGGTCACATTCTTCTATTTACCATTACTGGTAAAGGGACTGTAACTAAAATGTCTAGTATGAAAATGTCTTTATATAAATCTATGGGGTAGCTATATTTGGAATACTGTGTATAATCCAGTTTGCGGCATCTTAAACAAGGTGCTTTATTTATGGAAGGGTACAGAAAAGGGGAGCCCAAATAATCCAGTGGCTTAGACACTATCTGTACAAAGAAAAGGTGAAGCATCTGAGGCTCCTAAGGGGGAAGGGACCTGATTCTGTATTTATGAATAAGATGGAATAAGTGGTAAAGCCAGACTTTGACTTCTTCTCAAGGTCATCCCACAAAGATGAGGGCTAATAGATTCTGGCAAGGGAAAAGGCAGTACTTAATCAAGCCAGCAGTTAACTAACTCATAATATATATGGTCATGTCCACTGGCTTAGATGGCCTTATTCATGGAGCAGAGGTCGATAAATGGCGATTAGCCATGATAGCGAAATGCAACCTCCAAGTTCAGAGGCCATTATAGGAATAAAAGAAGAACAAGGCTGGCCAAAGGCACACCTCGCCCAGTATCCTGTTCTCAAAGTGGCCAACCAGATGCTTATGCAAAGCCTACAAGCAGAACATGAAAGCAATCCCACCTGAGAATGCCCAACAATGGGTATTCAGAAGCCTATTGCCTCCAACAGTGGAAGCAGAACATAGCCATTATGTCTAGTAGCCATTGGTAGCCTTAGCCTCCATGAATTTGTCTAACATTTTTAAAGCTTGAATTTTGTGACTCTGAATGCCATTTTGCTGGGGGGCAAATGATGGGGGAAGCCTCTTGTCTTTGTGCCCTGCTTGTGGGCCTCCCTGAAGCCCTGGGCTAGTCGCTGATGAAAACAGGGTGCTTGACGAGACGGGCAATTAGTCTACAAGGCTTTCCTCACCTCCTCATATATTCATTAATAACCATTTAATCTGCTTGAGCTTTCCCCCACTCTTTCCTGTTGTACAGCCACATTCCCCTCTCCTTAAAGTAAAGACATAATAAACCCTCTCTTACTCCCAGCACAGTGTGCAATAATGTTAAAAACTGGCTGATCCCTCATCCGCCTGGCCTTGACAAGCCAAGTGTGCAAGTGGGTCAGAAATGATTGAATGTCCCATAGTGCTGAGTGTCATGTCCCATTTTCTCGGTGAGTTAAGAATGAAACTTGCAGATCTCAGAGGTGAGCACATGTGATGCACACACACACTAGGTTGCTGATGTTGACAGGCCCATAAACCCCATCCGAAGAAAAGGTGTGTATTAATGACAAACATTGCACTGAAGGTCTGCGCCTGCAACTATTCCTCAGGTCAAAATTCAAAATTTCAGCTGAAGGAAGCACCTGACAAGGAAATGATTGTTTAATTCTATTAGCTTTATATGAACACCAATGTGCAAAACAAATTGTGTTTAGTATGTTTCCACTTACCTGATCTTTAGCTGTCTTGGTGTCCTGATCGTCTTGAATTTGGTATGAGTCTCAAAGGTATTTCCTTGTCAGTCTGTAATCATATGTAAACAACACTCCTTTTTAAAATGAGCTTCCAGTTATCTAAAAGTTTTGGATGATCCTCAGATCTTATGGGCAAGCGAGTTGTTCAAAAATAACTAGAAAAAGCAGGGGTTAGGATTAGGAAGGATCTGTTGATTTCAGTTCTCTCAGTTTCTCATTTTTTCCATTCATTTTCAGTTCCCCACATTTTACAATTTGCGGGTTTAAAAAAAAATCACAAAAATTCATCAGTACCTTTTTGCAAATTTCTCCTAATATGCAGTTTTGACCAATGTACACAGTTCTGCAAGCAATTTTCTTTAATATAATGCATGTTAGTGTGTTATTTTCACAAGTATATTCATTTTTATGCACGCTTCCCCCAAATATATGCATGTTTGCAAACATTGGTTGGCGAAGTGCATAACAAAATTCAGGTTAAGTGCAAATTTTAAATGTTAGCTGTGTTTTGGTTTGTATATTGTTTTGGAAAGGATAAATTTGATGGATTCAGTTTCAAATAAGACCTGAATCAAATTTCTTCCCCATCACTACTTACAGATTCTACTACACTGAAAACAATGCTTGGTTATGATACTCTCAAGCAGTTAAATATAACACTAGGTATTGTACAATAATAAAAAGGCAACAACCCTTCCCTGCTGATTAAGAATCTGACCGAATTATTAGATGGCAGGGCAATGTTATTGTTCCCCAAGCTGATGGTCACTGCAGCGATGCTACACTGACACTAGCTATGGTGCAATCTTATACTGAGCTAACTGCTAAGCCGAACAGACGACAGCATAAACAAGCATCCGTGTAGCAACACTGTCAGATTTAAGCCCATCTAGTGCTAATCCCTGATCACCGTTTTGCACACTACCTTCAGATAAGCCATGAAAATGAGGCATCAATCAATGTACACCAATGGCCAATCAACACCTGATACCATCCACCCTCATGTACCCTCTACATACAATGCACTACTAGGGCAATCGGAAAGAGAACAATAAAGACACAAACTCCTGGGCTCCAGTGTGTGCAGGTAGCTCTAAAAAGCCAAGGCAAACAACTGGGACCATACAACTATTATAATGCCCAGGTATCACCATAATCTAGCAGTAGAAGGCAAGAAAGGTGGCATGAGCGCCCCAGGAGAGAAGGGTTCAAGTCATGCTGTGCAATCAGTGCTCATATGCAGATATTCACCAGAACACTCCTAATAATACATTTGTATTGTTCCCCTTGTGAGAAAAGGAGAGGGCTACATGAGCTGGAGGTTCAAGACAAATAAAAGGTAGTTAACGTATGGAGTTAAACTATGAAATTTACTACTACTATCAAATTCTATAGCCAGGAGAATTCTATAGCTGCAGAGAAGGCCCTTTTTGAGTCCGTCCCCACTCCCAACCATACCTTTTTCGTACATGGGACCAAAAGCAGAGCCTCCAAAGATTATTGTAACCTATGGACATTTGAATATGGGCCGCAACATTTTCCTGATCCAGATCTAAAGGATTTGGCGCATTCCCTTTGTTCCGGTTCGGAATTTCACCCTCTCCCTCTGAAACGGATTGGATTGTCCTAATACACGGAAACAGAGATTCCTGAATGGTGTCGTTTTTTTGGAAGGGTAAGCTCCACGGGGAGCATTTAACCTTTTGCTTAGCTCAGCTGGAAAGATAGGAAGATTTAGATGGTAATGCTTATGAGCTTAACACCTTTCCATTGACATTTACAGTTCTTCAGAAGTTTCATGGCAGTACGAATCGGAGCCTGGGCTGAGCAACAGATGGATTCTGGCCAAGATCCAATGTTTTAAGAACTGTTGATCAAAGATCAGGTTTATCACAGTTGGTCTTGCAGAAAAAGATTGACATCTCAAAAAATGAGCTTCAACAGATAGAAGCCGAGCTCTCACAATTTTAGCTGATTTAGCTTTTTCCCTTTTTGGCAAGCTGGCTGAATTGCGTGATTAGTAATTTTTGTGAGCTGGCTAATAGGAAGCAGTAGCAATATAGGTGTAAAAGTTAGTATAAACTTGCCAAGTCCTGCTTTCCTTTATTGAATGATGATATGTGACACTCCTGTTGTTGACCTTCATTGTTAACAGGAGTCATTGAGCATCAATTTTGTTTTAAAAGCGTTGTGTATGGATAAAATTCTCGTTGGACCAAAGACGATTCTCTTAAGAGCAGTGACTGATGATCTCAGAAAGCATACCTACTGTTGTGACGTGGGGTTTGTGATTTCAGCTCTCCTGATATAACATGCTGGAGACAGTTCTCTAGTAACACTTCTTTATTAAAGCAACAAGACTGAAGACTGGGGAGAGGAAAGCTACATTTATAGGGACAGGGAACTAGCAAGAAAGGATACATTTTGGAGGGAACAATATCAGGCAATCACAGTCCTGCCTTTTGGAGGGAACCAATAAGACAGAGGATCCAAATACAGCAGCTTAAATGAACCAATAGTAGCTGTACCCTCTGGAACCAAAAGGCAGTTACTTTACCCTAATGCAAATACAGACAATAATAATACAGATATAAAATCCTTTGACTCAATACACAACACCCCTTCCCCCCTAGTGAGCACAGCAGACGTAATCTCTCAGGTACTGTGGGGGCCTACAACTTCTACTTGATCTCCTGACAACAGGTGTTGCAGGTTCTGGATTGGGTGTTACCTGTGGTAGAGGGGCTGCTCTAGGGGTTTCGTCAGGAACAGATGGAGTCCCCGACATCTCAGGGTCCCCTATCTGTACCTCGTCATCGTGAGGACTAGCAGACCCTGGTTCATTTGTTAAAGCCCCTGGTGATTGCACCTCTGGGCCATTTTCACTCTGGTCTTGCAGCTCTGCGTCGTTAGCCAGGGATGAATTATCTGGCTCCTCCCTGCTGAGCGCCCGGCGCCTCAGCTGATCTATATGTCTCTTCCACACTTGCCCATTTTCCAAGGTCACATAATAGGACACAGGTCCACTAGCCCGGGTGACCACACCAGCCACCCACCGCGAACCTCGTGAATAGTTCCTCACCCAGACCAGATCTTCAGGGGCGAGATACCTTGTTGTGTCAGTCTCAGCCTGGGGGGTTGCTCTTGAATTATGGTTTGGCATTTTATCCGGGTGGACATAATCCAGCACCGTTACTAGTCTCCTACCCAAGAGCAGCTCAGCTGGCGACTTGCCCGTTGCGGTACACGGCGTCGCATGCTGCAAAAATAACATTCGCGCGATGCGAGCTGACCAGTTACCCTCCATTAAGCGCGCAATGGATTCTTTGGCTGTTCTTACCATGCGCTCAGCCTGCCCATTGGAGGATGGGTGAAAGGGCGCGGATGTGACCCCTCTTATGAAGTTATCAGCCAAGAATGCCCTGAATTCTTGGGATACAAAAGCTGCCCCATTATCTGATACAATGGTCTCAGGTAACCCGTGGGTTGCAAACAGCTGCCTCAACACCTTGATGACGGCAGCTGATGCCATGCTAGGGACCATCGCCACTTCTAACCATTTGGAATATGCATCAACGATAACCAAAAAGACCTTTCCTTGGAATGGCCCAGCAAAATCTAAGTGCAGCCGGCTCCAGGGAGATCTGGACTGCTCCCACCAGTGGACTGGTGCTCTGGCCACTTCTGGCCGCACCTCTTGGCATGCCTTGCATGTTCGTACCCATTGTTCTATGTTCTGGTCCATTCCAGGCCACCACACATAACATCGGGCTAGCGACTTCATCCTGACCATTCCCGGGTGTCCCATGTGAAGCGTCTCAAGAACCCTGTTTCTCAGTGGTGCTGGGATGATCACCCTATCTCCCCACAGGAGACAACCCTTATGCATGGACAACTCGTGCTGCCTAGTCGCATAAGGCCTGAATTTGTCTTCATGCGGACCACCTGGCCACCCCCTCCCCACCCAAGTGAGCACACGGGAGAGAACAGCATCTTTCCTCGTTTTCTCAGCTATATCAGTAGCCGTTACAGGAGCCCCCGGAAGTGTTTCCAGCATCATTATGTGCTCCGCTGGAGCAGGATCCTCAGTGCTCCCGCCAGGAAGGGGCAATCGACTCAGCGCATCCGCGTGGCACAACCGTTTCCCGGCACATGGGTCAAGGTGTACTGGAACCCATTCAGGAATATAGACCAACGTAACATTCTGGGGGAGAGAATTTGTGGCGTTTGTTTGTTCGGGTTGAACAACCCTAACAGTGGCTTGTGGTCCGTTTCAATGTAGAAATGGCGACCGTACACATAATCATGGAACTTTTTGATTCCTGCCACAATTGCAAGCGCCTCTTTGTCAATTTGAGCATAGTTGCGCTCCGTGGGCGACAACGTACGGGAATAGAAAGAGATGGGCTTTTCCGACCCATCCGGTTCCCTATGACTTAGCACCGCCCCAGGCCGTATTGAGAGGCATCACATGCCAGGACCAGAGGCTTTGACTCGTCATAATGAGCAAGGACACTCCTGCTACTCAGCATTCCTCGCAAGGAGTCAAAAGCCTTCTGCTGCCCCTGCCCCCATCGCCACACAGTCTTTTTCTGCAACAGTCTATGTAATGGTTCAGCTACCGAAGCTTTCTGGGGTAAGAACGAATGATAAAAGTTAATAAGTCCCAGGAATGACTGCAACTCCGTCTTGTTCTGTGGTCGTGGCGCCTCGATGATGGCCTTAATCTTAGCATCTGTGGGGTGGATGCCTGATGCATCAATTTTAAACCCCAAGAAATCCACAGTTGGCACCCCAAAACTGCATTTTTCCTTTTTCAGTTGCAACCCCACCTCCTTGAACTTGAGCAACACTGCACGAACACGCGCAACCAGTTCCTGTGGGTCTTTTCCAGCAATCAAAACGTCATCAAAAAATGGCAAGACCCCCAGCAGACCTCTTAACAGGTGTTCCATGAGCCCTTGAAAAATCCCTGGGGCCACACAAACTCCAAATTGTAATCTGTTAACTCTGAACGCCCCTTTATGTGTGACAATAGTCTGTGCTTCCGCTGATTGTGGGGTTACTGGCAGCTGTTGGTAAGCTTGTGCCAGGTCAATTTTGGCGAACACCTTGCCCCCAGCCAGTTTAGCCAACAGATGTGATACGACTGGAATGGGGTATGAGTTTCCCTGAGTGCCTTATTGATAGTACATTTGTAATCTGCACAGATCCTGACTTCCCCATTTGCTTTAAGGGGCGTGACGATTGGAGTCTCCCACTTAGCAGAGTCCACGGGTGAGAGAACTCCCTGCTTGACCAATTTATCCAGCTCTGCTTCGATCTTGGGTTGCAGTGCAAATGGCACTCGCCTTGGTTTGAGTCGGATTGGGGCCACCCCAGGGTCCAACTCGAAGTCAACTGGGGGCCCTTTATAACAACCCAGTTTTCCATTAAAGAGACCAGCAAATTCTTTGCATAATGCCTCGCTCATCTCAGGGCAGGTTTGGATTGAATTAAGCCCTGATATACTCAGTCCCAGGGCGGGGAACCAGTCAGTGCCCAGGAGACTGGGGCGACTGCCCTTCGCAATCACCAGTTTGAGTACAGCCTGTTTGTCCCGGAACTGTACTCTCACGGCACACATTCCCATAACATGGATGCGGCCCGCTGAGTATGACTGCAAGGTTGCCGGGAAGGGTTCCAGAGGGGGCAACTTACCCCTGGGGAAGAATGTCCTCGCGGTCTGGTCCGACACGATAGTGAATCCAGATCCGGAGTCCACCTCCATGTCGCACTGCTGACCCTCAATCTTCACCTTGACGTGTGCCTTGCCTTGTGCTGGGAACTGCACGACCCTCCCGTTGATCTCCGTAACGTAGTGGCAGTCCTTTAGAAAATGGGTTGCTGCGGGCGGTCTGCGATGCTCCGGTCTAGGTGCTCCTGTCGCTCCCAACGCCGCCGATCTACAGACCCTGGCGATGTGACCTGTCTTCCCGCACGTCCGGCACATAGCATCCCGGAAACGACAACTCTTCCGCTCATGGTTTCCGCCACAACCTGGGCACCTGCCTCGGTGATCTTTGTGCACTGTGCAGGCCTGACTCACTGACTCGACCCCACGGACTGGGCTCTGGCTCGGAGTAGCCTCTAGCTCGTCCATGGCATGCGCAACTTCTATCTGTGGCTTAGGGGCCTTGCGACTGGCATCAAGCTCCTCTCTTTCATAATTCTCCGTGGCGGTGGCCTCCTTCAAGGCTGAAGCAAGGGTAACCTCTTCTTTAGCCACGATGCGTCTTCTGGCCTTCTTGCTGCTCAGACCACCGATAAACCGATCCAGGAGAGTCTCTTCCAGATTTTGGAAGTCGCAGTGCTGAGCGAGCTTCCGCAGTTCAGCCAGAAATGCAGATACAGACTCCCCAGCATGCTGCTGCCTCTTATGAAACTCCATCCGCCGAGCCATCTTGGTCTCAGTAGGCGCCAAGTGGCTTGTTAGGCAGGCAAGAATATCTTTGAGAGATGTCTCACTTAGCTTCGCTGGAGCAAGCAATGCCTTGGCCAGCTTGAAGGTCTCAGGCCCACAGTAGCTCAGGAATGTGGCCCTTCTTTTGCTGGCATCGGTGATCCCTTGAGCCTCTGCGAAGAACTCGAAGCGTTCGACGTAGTCTTCCCACGTGTCGGGCTCTGATGGCTGGAAGGGCTCCAATACCCTTGGACTCTCCATTGTCCTGTGGCAGGGTCGTCTTCTCAGCTGGCCAGTGAGTCTTGTTCTTAGCTGCAATCCGGACTCTGAGGCAGGGCTGCGTTTAACCGCTCCTCAGCATTCCGGATCCCATCCTCGTCGCCAGTTGTTGTGACGTGGGGTTTGTGATTTCAGCTCTCCTGATATAACATGCTGGAGACAGTTCTCTAGTAACACTTCTTTATTAAAGCAACAAGACTGAAGACTGGGGAGAGGAAAGCTACATTTATAGGGACAGGGAACTAGCAAGAAAGGATACATTTTGGAGGGAACAATATCAGGCAATCACAGTCCTGCCTTTTGGAGGGAACCAATAAGACAGAGGATCCAAATACAGCAGCTTAAATGAACCAATAGTAGCTGTACCCTCTGGAACCAAAAGGCAGTTACTTTACCCTAATGCAAATACAGACAATAATAATACAGATATAAAATCCTTTGACTCAATACACAACACCTACACTACTAATTTATATTGGTTTTTTTAAAAGCAGTTTGTCATAATTTCCCCCAATGCATCCTGGGAATTGTAGTTTCATCTGTCGCTCACAGGGGAGATCTCCTCTTGAGAGAGGAAGGCTATTAACCCAGTTTAAGTCTGCAGTATAGATGGAAGTTCCCTTTAAATGAACTTTACAAATTTCTCAAAAGTGTTTAAACCACACAGGTGTCCAAAATGCCATTTTAATATAATTTCCATGTATATTCCTGTGTAGAGATAATGACTACTTTCCTTTTTTCAAAGTTCATTCTGTAAACACAAGTAGGTGCACTCTTTCCTTTGTATGGTTGTTATCTTTAAGTCCTTTAATTCATCGACTCACATCTTGCAATAATACATGCAAAATGGGCTCTGAACTCCTTTGCAATATGCAGATTTGTGTGCAAATGAGCGTTACCTATGGTGTTCGCACTGAAGCGTTTTTCTTTGATGTACATTTCTGACATTCTGAGACTGTAAAGAAGAAAATAACTTCAAAAATTTTAAGAAACCTTAATTGAAGTTAACATAAAAGAAGATACATGGTGTTAATTGGTCTGTTTCAGGCATAATTTGGGCCTTTGAGACCATGTCCCTTACCCCCTGCCAAAGTGTCAAGACTCACATCTTTAATTCAACAATCTTTGTATTAATTACCTCTGGATAAGGTAAGCTTTGATTGGGAGGCTTTTATTGTAAAATTACAGTACATTGCCGGATTTAAGATAAATAAATTAGGGCTGAACTTGAAAAATCTCCATCCAACTGAGAACTTGGAAGTGCATTTGCCTATCAAATGCCAGATGAAAGAGCAGTTCATCTCCAGGCATTTTAATGGGAGAAAAGTGTTGAACTGTTTACAAGAACCAAGATCCACATGGATCTGTACCACACATAGATTGCAGATAGTCATCTTGGGGCGAAGAAGACAGGCATATTATTTGCAGAGCAGGGAGGGTGGTTTGGAAGCATCCTTACCTTAGTCACTCTCCCAGTCTCCCAGTTACCCTCATGGCTAAGTAAGAATTTGAACCTTCAGAACTTCATCACTTAAGCCACAGCACCACAAATAACAATCCTGCTTCACCCTACTTTATTTTACATGGGGTTACGAGATATCCAAGGTATTTCCACATCTTGCTAAGGTGTTGCGGGGGCACATTTGCAAAGCAGCCTCTTCTGAATGTGGAAAAAAGGGGCATTAGTGAAGGACTTATCGCCATATCGGCCTAGAGAGCCCTGTTATATCCCCTGTCTGTGGGTGACACTACTTTACAACAACTGCTGTATGTCCTTTTGTCCCAGGCATAAGTTATGCTCTGCTGGTTAGGGAAGCTAGACATGAAGACTGGGTCAAACCAAGTGCACCAAGCTCAGCACTATTTATGCTGATTGGCATCAGAGTTTCAAACGGGGGGTCTTTCGCCGTCCTACTTGGGAGATGTCAAGCATTGAGCCTGGGACCTTCAGCATGTAAAGCAAATGTTCTGCCTCTTCCCCGGTTGTCAAAATGGCAGCCTCGCCATGCAAAGGATTCTTTTGCCTGTCAAGTGTTTTCAAATCCAGCTGCAGATAATTACCTGTGGCTCTGCCTCCAACTTGAAAAGGGCCAAATCCGCAACAGCTTCGAGCAGATTAAAAAGAGGCGAGGCGAGGAATGGAGGCACTTCTCTGCGGCTCCTTCGCTCACCAGCACTTGACACCGAATGCGTACGGGAGGCTGACCGTCAAAGGCAAAATGAGCTCGACAGAAAAGAGTAGGCATACATTTGCGTCTGACTGTAATGCAGTATCAATCATTAGAAAGTGCAACACAAAGGATTTGCATGGCAGGCTGTGCTAATCAGAAGAGGTGAGTGTTTTAATGCGTTTAAACGAGGACAGGGCACTTATTAATCAAAACAGAATCCAAAAGGACTGAAAGAGCAAGAATGCGACTCGAAACTTGCAAAAGTGGACCAGCGATACTTCTGAAATCCCATTTCAGGAAACCATCTAGGTTTATTATGCGAGGAATAATGAGGTAACTAACAAATACAACAAAAGGGGGAAAAATGTGAGAAGTTGTAATTATGTCAGAGAATGCGGGCAGCTGATTGGGGGAAATATTTCCCATTATAGCAAAGCGTCTTTTGGCAAGGTGAAGTAAAATAATGGATTTTTCATTGCCTTTGATTCAGCTTAGCACATGTTACTGCGGCAAGAAAAAACTATTAAAAGTTTCTACCATGTGGAATAAATGTGAGGTGCTGGAGGTGCCAAGTCATTTATCCACACCGAAACCTCCAAGATCCCCAAATTCAGGACAATCTACAGTAGAGTTCATCCACGTGTGAGACAAAGGGGAGGCACACTTAGGAAATTGTGGGTTAATCAAGATGTCTGACCTGCAGGCACAGGGGAAATCTGTCATGGATTAGATGAAAAGGGACAACAAAGGAAGTCTGAGAGGAAAGTAGGATGTCAGGGGAAGCATGGTCGTTCTAAGTTGCCAGTGCTAGCAGATAAGGTTACTAATTGCTACTGAACCCTCCTTTTACAAAGGCCATGAATGATGTTTGCCTCTGCCCCCATCCCTGGTTGCTAGCTTTATGGTGAGATTTAGAAGGGACAGTGGCATTGCTGCTTGAAGCCAGTAAAAACCCTTGTGGATCAGGCAAAAAATCCATCTAGTCCAGCATCCTGTTCTCACAGCGGTCAACCAGGTACCTATGAGAAACCTCAAGAAGGACCTCGGTGCAACAGAACTCACCCAGCAGCAGGCCTCCAGAGGCATACTGACTTTGACAGTGGAGGTGGTACATAGCCATTGAAAGCCTTTATCCTCCACGAATTTGTCCAATCGTCTTTTAAAGTTGGAGGCCATCACTACATCTCATGGAAACAAATTTAATAATAAATAGCATACATTTAATAATAATAATAATAATAATACCTTTATTGTCATTATACAACCTGTGTACAATGAAATTAAACAAGCCTCCCCCCCAAAAACACTCAATCTCTTATCGAACAACACACCACCTCGCAAGTCAATATCGCTATGTTATTTTCCGTTCAACAGCCTAACAGCCCACAGATAAAAGCTATTTTTTAGCCTGTTGGCACGGCTGATTATACTTCTATATCTCCTGCCCGAGGGTAGAAGATTAAAGAGGTGGTGGCCAGGGTGTATTAATTATTATTATTATTATTTGTTTTGAAACACTGCCCACAAAGGATTTACACTGAAAAAACAGAAGAGCAGGATCTGCAGGATCTGGTCAATGCACTCTGAAGACCAGAGGCGCAGCTCCTTTACTCACATGTAACTGTAAATCCTCCCAGCATTTGATTATTGTTATCCCTGGAATTTCAACGTCTCTGATTTACTACGGTGCTAGTCCTTCTCTCCTGCTGTCGTGAGAGAAGACTAGTTTGTTGGTTCTCTCCTGCCTCCTCAAAGGAAATGTCAGCAGGGACTAAAGAACTCTGGGACTGGTAGTACTTGAGAGGGCATGTCATATAGGGTGGCAAATTAATTCCTCTTCCTTAAACTACAAGTCCTAGCTAGAGTTTACTGTACAAAAACACTCTCTAGTTACACAGAGAGGAGGAGGGGGAAACAGCAATACAACCAATTTGCTATCAACATTATTGAGTGACTGCAGAAAGTTAGATCCTTGTCAGCAAATTTGTTCATATGAGTAAAGTTGCTGAAACTATAAACAAAACAACTGTTTGCAGGTTACTTTCCTTGAATGTTTGCTGCCATGTGGTAATAGTCCAGCTGAACTCTCTGCAGGGAAGTGCTAGAGCACAGTCATAGACTTCCTTAAAGATCATTTTACCTCACCGGTAACATGGGTTTCCTGTCAGATTTCAGAGAAATAAATTTCTCTGAAATCATCATACCCAGTAGGTTGCATTTGAATGCTACCTCCAAATAGGCAGCCCTTTGCACTGTTCTACTCTATATGAACCTATCCACTACTGAGATTTGTATCTTCATCATTTATCCCTCACCTATTTTCAGCTTGCATGTTCTGTGTTACAACTCACCTCTGAAGGCCAATTTATCAGTGGCCCTTGAAACCCCACAGCATATTTTATTTCTTTGGTAGGAGAAGGGACCCACTGATGCCATCACCTTTGCTGACACCCTCCCATTGCTGAAGCATCCCTTCAGCCACTCACACTCAATAAAGCGGCCTTTGTGGCAGATTTAAGAGGCAACGGGAGTGTGATGAAAGATACTAAATGCCAGTGGCCTAGAAGGAGCAGGAAGGGAGGTTGTGTGTATGAAAATCTTGAGGCTATTGTGCTGGATTGGAAGCAAATATTTCATAGGGAGGGCCCATAATTGGAAACAGTTGAGGTTCATTAATACTGCCACACAGGGATATCTACCTCAGAACATTAAGATTTCCTACGATAGCCTTTTCCTTGTCTTTTCCATGGCACTAATTGGTTGTGTTGTGGAGTGGGAATCCAAGGGAACACAGTTTCAGAATGCATCTCCATCATAATGTACAGCTTGCCTAAAAGTATCTATTACTGTCTTTCTGTTACCAGAACAAGCAATTCTTCCAATTAAGAGCATGAGAATGATATTCATTCTGCAATGTAAGCTTTGCATACTTTCACAATCACATGTTGTGATATATTTTTTAAATAATTTATCTAATTTTGAGCTATTTACTCCTAACATATATCTGTTGCACAGCATAGAGAAGGGAGCATAGAAGGTATCTTTGGTGTCAAAATTAAAAAGAAAAGGAACATTTTGAATCAAGTTGTCTGGCAGTTCGGTTTTGCTCACTCATTTAGCATTTTCCTAACAGGTATTTGTTTATATCCCACCTTTCCTTAGCATACTTAAGGCAGCTAGCAAAACCCAATGTGGGATGAAGCAGTGACACTAAATCAATTTTCTTTCCCCTTTCCCTTTCTCTTTTAAAAATGAGATCGGAATCTTATGATGGCAGATTATGATAACCTTGTGGAAAATTGAGGGATGATCTCTCCATCAGCTGCCACTAAATGAGAATGTCTTCAGCCACTGCTTTTGCTACAGGGAATAAATGTTGCAGAAGCATGGATGGCAAATGGAAAGCTTCATTTAAATGGAGAACATACACACCCAAGTCCCTAGCTATGAGAAAAGATCTAGGAGGTTTGCCATTTACTCTGGATTTCTTTGTACAAGTTATTTTCTTAGAGATTTCTTACAAGAGTCATTAAAAAATCCCACGAGATTCTTAGATGTTCTGTCTTCCAGTCTGTTTCTGGGCCCAATTTTAAGAGCCAGTTTTCATCTATAAATATCTAAATTTAAGCCTTGGGTTACTTGAAATATCACTTTCTTGCATACACCAATGTGGTTTTTAATATCTTTGTCTGAGACCCTGCTCTGAGTGCCCCTGCCAAATGACATCAGGTGATAGAGGTCCTTACCCTTATGGGAGATATGTATGGCCCCTTCTCTATTGGTTTTTAAAATACATTTTAAGATTTCTTTTTAATTCCTCATAGCCAAACTACATTTGGATATTTTTCTGGAGTTCTCTTTTTGCAAATACAGTGGTACCTCAGGTTACAAACACCTCGGGTTACAAACACTTCGGGTTACAGACTCCGCTACCCCAGAAGTAATACTTCGGGTTAAGAACTTTACCTCAGGATGAGAGCATCTTGGAAGATCCTATGAATACAGTATCAGAAGTATTGAAAGAAATTGATAAGTTTGGACAATTGGCAGGATTTATGTTGAATAAGAAAAAAACCAAAGCAATTATTAAAAATACTGACCAGGAGTTAGTTAATAGACTACAGCAGCAAACTGAGATAGAAGTGGTTAAGAAGTAAAATATTTATGGGTTTGGTTAACCCCCAGGAGTATGGACTTGTTTCAGAATAATTATGTTCCAACATGGAATAAGATTAAAAGGGACCTTGAGGTATGGGGAAGAATGAAACTTTCTTTTTGGGGAAGAATTACAACGATAAAAATGAATGTGCTACCGAAGATGTTATTTTTATTCCAAACAGTTCCAGTAATCAAGGGGGGCAGCAATTTTTAAAAACTGGCAAAGAGAAATTTCAAGGTATATCTGGCAGGGTAAGAAGCCGAGGATAAAATTTAAGATTTTAACAGATGCAAAAGAAAGAGGAGGCTTCGCCCTGCCAGACCTGAAATTATATTATGAAGCATCCTGCCTCTTTTGGTTAAAGGAATGGATAAAATTACAAGATACGGATGTGTTAGACTTAGAAGGTTTTGATAATAGATTTGGGTGGCACGTGTATTTGTGGTATGATAAGAAACGGGTCCACAAAGGTTTTGAAAATCATATTATAAGAAGGTCCTTGATTGAAGTATGGGAAAGATACAAAAATCTGTTGGAACAAAAAACTCCTTATTGGTTATCACCGCTGGAAGCGATGAGCGTGAAGAAACTCAATATGACAGGGGGTTGGGTAACATATGAGAAATTGATATGTAAAAGTGAAGGAAAATGGAAAATGAGACCATTTGAAGAAGTTAAGAATTATGTGAATGACTGGCTGCATTTTTTTCAAATTAATGAGATTTTTAGAAAAGATTTAAATGAAAGGGGCTTTGCTGATAAAGAATCCAAATTTCAGACTGACATATTAAATAATGACTGTAAGATCTTAGCAAAAATGTATAAGATATTGCTGGAATGGTATACGAAGGATGAGGATCACGTCGGGGTCACCAGATGTTGGGTTGAAATCACGACAGACGAATGGTGGGTGTCAAAGGAGAGACGTCTGCCGGGGCAAGTCCCGGGAACTCTCTTTTATTGAATATTACAAACATTGCCACAGGTGTGCTTGTGGCTGATTGGCTGATACAAACACAAAGCATCTTGTTGCTGATTGGTTAACATAGGTACAAGGCGGGAATAACATATTACATCAATCACTGATAGATCAAGGACTGGGAAACGGAGCTGGAACTAGACAGGCATGAAACCTCCCAATTAAATTATAACTAAAGATTGATATTGAGAGAACATAACATGAAGGAATACAACAATCACGTTCCGTAAATGTGGTCAGCAATGCATTAAGAACAGGTCAGGATACACTGTTTCATGAACTCAATGGGAACTGTTCAGAACATTCTCAGACTTATGTGCAGAGGCAAAAACTTCCCAGAATGTAAGAGAGAAAAGAAGCAATAATGCTAAAAGCAAGACTTTCCCAAAATGCCACAGTTATGTGCAGTAAGAGAAACTGCAGAAAGGAAAACTTCCCTTCAAAAATCGGTGATGATTGATTGGGCCAAAGATATAGGACATAATATACAAATGGAGGAATGGGAAAGATGGTTTAAGATTCACTGCATGTACTGCTATAAAAGAAAATGTTATGAAGATGATGTATCGATGGTATATAACCCCCGTAAAGTTAGCAAAAATGTATAAGATAAGTAACAAATGTTGGAAATGTAAAGAAAAGGAAGGCACTTTCTTTCATATGTGGTGGGAGTGTAAGAAGGTAAAATGCTTCTGGGAAATGATTTATAATGAATTGAAGAAAATGTTGAAATACACATTTACTAAGAAACCAGAAGCGTTTTTACTTGGTATTACAGGGAATGAGATAAACAAGAAAGAGAAGAAGTTATTTTTATATGCAGTGACTGCAGCAAGAATATTGATGGCCCAGAAATGGAAACAAGAGGAGATGCCTACGATAGAAGATTGGAGAGCCAAAATGATGGACTATGCGGAATTCGACAGAATGACAGGAAGGATTCAGAATCGACGAGATCAAAGATTTACAGAAGATTGGGAGAAGTTTATTCAATATTTGCAAAAACTAAGTGATAACCAGATTACGTTTGTAAGCTTTAAGGAAGCTCTGTGATGTGAAAATCTTATAATAAGTATAAATAATGAATTGAAGCTACCAGAATAATTAACAATAAGTAGGATTGTGTTAAAAGTTATAAAATGAAGGAAGTTCAGACAAATTGAGGGAAGTCAAAAGAATGGAATTAAGAGGTAATTAAGAAGTTTGAATGTACAACTTTGTTTTCTTTTTTTGTATTTGTAAACCAATAAAAATATAAATTAAAAAAAAAAAAAAGGATGAGAGCAGAAATTGCGTGGCAGCGGGAGGCCCCATTAGCTAAAGTGGTACCTCAGGATAAGAACGGTTTCCGGTTAAGAACGGACGTCCGGGACGAATTAAGTGCGTAACCAGAGGTACCACGGTATTTGTTTGCAGCCGTTATTTCACTGGTAGACCTTTTGGAAACTGTTTGTATTATCTTCTGGGCATGATGTCTTGCCTTCTGGAAACATGCCCAGCACGTTGGAGAACAGGGGTGTGTGTTGTATTGCCTATCCTGCTCCCTCCCCCCCCCAATATGTCCTGTTTCTCTCAGGTGCAGTGGGAGGTCACTGTCTTATTCTCACCAATACTGAAGTAAGATTCAGCTGGCAGTCCTCTTGGTTAATGTACTTAGAATGCAAGGGAGGCAATTTTGTCCTTTCCATCATACAGCAAAATGTATCAAGCCCAACCTGGGATCTCAGTTATTACATCTTTGGGAATCACACTCTTGGGATTTCTTTAAATCTTCCTTGGAAGAGTTGAAAGAACCTATCCTTTTCCTGCTCTTCAACCACCTTAACGATAGGAGCATATTTAAAGTTAATAAGTGTGGGAAGAGGTAACTAAACTGTATGCTCTCTTGTTTCCAGAACTGTTTTTGGAGGGGGACTGACTTTCTGTGTCTCTAGAGAGTCTCTTCAAAAGAACTCCGGCACAGGAGTCCCTAATGATATAAATTCTGTGGCAGTTGCAACAGGCAGAGTTTACGACGACGGAATATTGATCAACAGATGTAGCTTAGCTCAGAGACTTGAATAGACATGGATTAGATGCAAGACCCCATATGTTCCCCATCTCCAATTTCATTAATCTTATTGTGTTTGGTGGCTATGAGATACTCCTTTATATCAGATTATGGGAAAGACCTGATTGATAACGCTATCTAGAGAAATATTTATTTTGTGTCAATGATAGTACTTTTGATTCTGAAAACTTTTGTGCCGCAGCGTGCCAGTTGCAGAAGTCCTTGAACTCAATGGTTCTTTTTATTATGTGATATGAGATCTTTGTCCTTTGTAAATGAATAAAGAGTAATGGAGAGAAACGTTGGACTTTTTCTTTTAGCTTTGCCGTCACTGATTAAAGAAGCTGAAGGGGCTTTCTAGAAATAAGCTCTGTTTGGACCCAGGCACCTTAATTAAATTGATTGCTCAATTACTTTTGGACTAAAAGAAAGAAAGAAAGAGCAACACTTGATTAAAATTCTGCTCTGAAGAAAAATGAACACCTGTTTTTTGTAAACACTGCAGCCAGAGGGATCTCAGTCAATGCTTGCAAGAGAAAGAAGCACTAGCAAGTCGTGTTTGGGGAAGAAGCGGCAGCCCAGGACAATCCAGCAAAAGAGGGAAAAGGACATGCGTTTACATGCAAACAAAAGATAATCTTAAAGCTGTCACCTTAAGGGGACATACTAAGTTTTATTTGAATACTAATCAGCTTGCAGAATCCAGCATACAGAACTGTTGATAGCTGGCTTGGGATCAAGGGTGCTTTTCTGCATCTGGCAACAACATGGGTCATTCTGACTCCACTGTAAGCACATGTCAAAGAACGGGAGTCACTGAGGGGCAAATTGCTCCATTCATTTCAAAGGATGGGACTCACCCAGCACAGAGGGAAGAGTGATGCCATATTGTACTTCCTTGAAATGTGTGAATAGCATCAACTGAAGCGAATGGCAACGTGCTTTTCCGAATGTGGCAAATGGATGGGATGCGGGAGAGATTTAGGATCTGTGCTTGGTTTCTGCTTTTGGCTCCTTGCACTTCTCTCTCTTATCTAAAATGCATCTTGCCCATTTCCTCTTGCAGGGACACATTATGCTCTGGGAGAGAGAGGTGCAAGATCAGTTCTGGATTTGATGGAGAAAAGTTTGGACAGAAAGCCTAAGGGAAATATGCACCCTATGGCTGCAAAGGTATGGATTTTTGTCCCATCTGAAACAAGCCTGGAAGGGAGCTACATGTGAATACAAAATGGCCAACTCTTATACTCAGAACAGAAAGCTACTAATTTTATAGTAGTCTGCTGCCTTCCTATTTTACAAGTTAATCTTCTTTCTCCCGAATCTAAGTTCTGTTCCTGAATCTACTCTTTTCCAGTCACTGCCAGATGTCATAGATCTCCAACCCTCTTTTCATTTTTAAGATCTATGAAAAGAAGGGGTGGGTGAGGGAAGATAGATTTTTGTAGCCTCTCACTGACTTACATCACTAGATGCCTTATTGCTTGATGATTCGCTGCTGCATGTGCGAATTGTTTCAATTGAACAAAATTGATTTAAGGTTATGCAAAGTGATGGTACAGAGCCTAGGGCTTGCCGATCAGAAGGTCGGCAGTTTGAATCCCTTCAACAGGGTGAGCTCCTGTTGCTCGGTCCCTGCTCCTGCCAACCTAGCAGTTCAAAAGCACGTCAAAGTGCAAGTAGATAAATAGGCAGGAAGGTAAACAGTGTTTCTGTGTGCTGCTCTGGTTCGCCAGAAGCGGCTTAGTCATGCTGGCCACATGACCCGGAAGCTGTCTGCAGACAAACGCCAGCTCCCTCGGCCAGCAAAGCGAGATGAGCGCCACAACCCCAGAGTCGTCCACGAATGGACTTAATGGTCAGGGGTCCCTTTACCTTTAAAGTGATGATACAGCAGTTTCCCCTATAGTGCTTGACCCATGATGGTTCTTTCACACGTGCAAGTCATCATATTATTTTCATTCATAACATTTCTGCACACCCTTTATATAAAGTACTCAGTGTAGGTATAAATATATAAAAATTGGACAATAAGATCTGTTTCATCCATACCTAGGCTGGTGATAGGCTATACAGCCCAGGGTGCAGAAATGGAACAGGCAACCCTCTCTTCTACCATGCAGGTATTGCATGCAGAACGAGGACTCTTGTGTGTGGTGGAACATCTGGTCAATAAAAAAACATCTGAGTGATACAGGGAAGGGATGCATCCTTCACTCTGTCATCATATAAAACAATAGCAAGTCTTGGGCCACCTCACCAACACAGTTATTGCCACATAAGCTTTATGCTAGTCTTTAAGGCACCACAATATTCTTGTTTTTCCTGTGACTGGCTATCACAGCTGTTTTCTTCTAGAAAGGCACCAGCCTTTCTGAACACTGGGTACCGGCACAGTTTTCATGAGCAGGAGATGGTGACCTAACCTTGACTTCTCCCTTTCCCACTAGGTAGATATACCATAACAGTCCATCAAATTCTCTGCATTCCATCTTGTTTTATGTGTAGGTTAAACAGCATTCATATATGTTTATATGAGGGTGGGGATCCAGAATAGTAACACCAATCATCCCCGTTATATTACTGAATGCCTCTGTGTTTGTAGAACTCTTTGGGCCACAAGAGAAGAACGAAAGGTGGATTAGAATCATGGGAATAAATACAACAAGGTTATTGTTTGAGTTGCAATTCTTCCTGCTTCTTCTACTTTCTTTTTCTTTCTTTTTTCTTTTTTCGAGGGGGTTGTGTAAAGTTCTGCAAATGATTGTATTAATCCAATTATCATATGCTTCTGCCATGGGTTTCAGTGGCAGAGTTCCAGTAATTACTCTTCATTAGTATTCATTAGTACCAGGTCTTGCCTGATCTCAAGTTCATGTTGAATAAACTCGGCTGTAATATTTTTGATATGGGCTAGATGTAGAGGTCACCGTGGAGGCATTAATTAGGCCTGGTCGTCAGAAGATATTTTTGTGGCTCTTCAAATGAGTTTTGCTTCAGATGCGCCATGGCTTTCCACTTGTGAAGTGTGAGCAGATATGCAAAGCAGAGTTAGCAGCAAAGCCGACGCTTCAGCGTCCTAAGAATCTAAGAGCACAGGCCACAAGAAAGCCCAAACACACACACTGTCTGCAACGATCTTCCAAAAATGCACAGTGTTTCGGGACCATTTCTTTACAACTCTGACTTAAGCATGTATCTTGTGAACTCAAGTTAAAGTGGAAAGCGTGGGTGCTGGAAAATGACGCTGGGTGATTTTCTTGGAATAGATTTCTCCCCCAATTAGATGTTGTAAAGGATTGTAAGATCTTGAAGACATCTCTAACCAAATGCTAGACTCTGGAGGATTGGGGGAAAGAAATGGTAAAAACCAGCATGCTTGTATATTTTCTTTTCTTTTCTTTTCTTTTTTTTAAGAAGAAGAGTTTGGATTTGATATCCCGCCTTTCACTCCCCTTCAGGAGTCTCAAAGTGGCTAACATTCTCCTTTCCCTTCCTCCCCCACAACAAACACTCTGTGAGGTGAGTGGGGCTGAGAGACTTCAAAGAAGTGTGACTGGCCCAAGGTCACCCAGCAGCTGCATGTGGAGGAGCGGAGACGCGAACCTGGTTTCCCAGATTACGAGACTACCACTCTTAACCACTATACCACACTGGCTCTCGTATATTTTCTTTTTTTTAAAAAAATCCTTTAGACCACTTCTTCTTTGGCAATGCTGAGATACGTCTCAGAGAGGAAGAGAATAACTTTCTTGTGCAAGAGAAGTAGACATCTTCTTCGTTCAGAGGCTGTATACTACTGAAAGCCAGCTTCTGGGGAGTAACCGCAGGAGAGTCTTATTGATTTCATGTCCTGTTTGTGGGCTTCCTATAGACATAGAATCACAGAATTATAGAGTTGGAAGGGACCACAAGGGTCATCCAGTCCACCCACTTCAATGAAGGAATCTTTTACCCAATGTGGGTTAAAGAACCTCAGGCTCTACCAACTGAGCTGGCTGGCTGCCCTGATTCAGAAGGGCTTTTCTTATGTTCTTCTGTTTTGAGTAAAAATGAAAACTGCATAATAACAATTTTTTTAAAAAGAGGATGACATTGTTAAGCTCAAGCTAGCCTACACTTTACTCTCTATGCATGTATTTATGTATTTCTAGGTCAATGTCTTTTGATGTATTTAAAAAAGAAAAGAAATGTAACCTTATTTGTCTTTTCCATTTCATTAATTTTTGTTTGATTTTATAAAATATTATGAACTTGAAAAAGCAACAGCTATTCAAATTATCTCAGTAGGTTCCCAGACAAGTTTGCAAGATATGGAGGCTTTGTACAAGAGATATTGATGGCTATTTGCAAATAGCTGTATCTTTCAGAAGTTTCATTTTTTAAAGAAAATAATTTAAATAATAGGTAAGCAAGAAAATCTTCAATGAACATTGTAGTCTTATGCATACTTTGGCTTTTGACTTACTGAAATAGCAAATCACAAACATAATAAGGTGATGTCCAATAAGTCTGCTCTGAGTAGGACTAACATTGGAGATCACCCAAAAATGTTAGGGCTCAGATACTGAGCTTACTGTAATGCTATGCCCGGTGTATGAAATACCAGGAGTACTATGGATGAGAAGCCAGTCTTGTCAGTAGAAGCCCTGCTGTCAGGGACTGGACAGAGGAGGAATTGTGGAGATCGCCTCCCCAGCCTGAACCTTCCAGAGAAGAGGAAGACAGTATAGATTTACAACAGTGGTTTGCGGGAGGTCACAGCTCAGAGGCAGATGAAGGGCAAAGTTGGTAAAGTTGGGAAATAATGGGAAAAGTGTAAATGGCTTACACTTATCACGAGAAAGCATTCCAGACCCTCCTCCTCCCAGAACCTGGCAAACAATGAAAGTAGGAGAGCAAAGGGCTCAGAGACAAATGGCCCTAAGCGGCCACCGTAAGGTGGGTGGTGCTGTTGATGATTGAGGAAGTGGAGAGAAGGGGGTGGTGGTGGAGATTTACTCGGAGCAACACCATTACTCCAAGAGGCTGCATTTCTAAGCTTCTCTCTGTGAATATTGAATAAAAGACATTGGAAAGAACTTTCCTTGTCTTATCTATTCCTGGCAGCCTACCGTGGGGGGATTGGATTCCCTGATGCCTGACACCTGCACAAGGACTTTTGGTTATGTGACAGGGCTGTCTCCCATGCATCCTGCTCATTGGCGGGGCAGGGAGTGTGAAGAATTCCAGAACAGCATGCGGGAAGAGGAGAGTGGGGAAACTCTTTATTCTGGAAAGCTGCAATGATGAAAAATTTGCCATAAACTGTGGCATTGAATTCTATTCCAGTTCATTATTTGCTGTTTTGAATTCCTTTTGGTGTTTTCTTGTGCAGAATATTTAAGAATCAGCCACCCTTTTCCCCATGAGTAGGGCTAGGTAGTGTATAGGGCTAGGTAGGTTTTACTTTATTAAATTTCTCAGAGTTGCATCCAATGCTCTTCCAACTTGGAGTACATCCACTCAAATGAAATGATGCAAGAACACTTCGCAGCATTCAATGGGTCTCTTCTGAGTAATACCTTGGCTGAATGCAGTCCTTAGTCACCAACCACAAGCAAAACCAACCAATATGTACAAGCTACAAAAATTTAAAACATACCAAAAAAAAAAATGGAGACACAATCATACTGTCAACCAGGCTAACATATCAGATTATGGCAACCTATAAAACTGCTAAAAAGCACCACTGACACAATTATAAACCATCCAGTTCTGAGGTGGGGAATTAACAGCCAATCCCTCAAATATGCTCAGGTGCCTGGCAGTAGAGGAAAGTCTTAACTCCATGCCAAAACTATGGTAAAGTTGGGGTCAGGCAGGCCTTGCCTGAGGGGAGAACTTTGCAGATTTTAAGGGCTGCAGCTCAGTGGTAGACTTGCCACTTTGCATGCAGGAAGTTCTCATATGTTGCATCACACCACCCTCTTTTCTTGCACAGCAACCAGAGTCGTGGCACTCCCCCCTCTGTCACTGGTGTGGGCTACAGGAGTTTCCTCTTCATTGCTCCAGACCACAGCCGTACCCCTCTGTCCTCACTGCCCCTACCATTTGGCAGCTCCTGAAGTGTGCTCTGTGGGAAGGCACTTTCCAAGAGTGTGTGGTGGTGACCAGTGCTACATTCCTAGAAGAAGAGGTGCCAGAACTCACCATGAACACCTCCCTTGTTCTCTTATAATGGCAAGGTGCCCACCTGAGACATGCCAGAACTGAGTTTTGGTGAGTTCTGGCTAGGGGGAAAAGCCCTGGTGGTGATCCTAAGAGAGAGAAAGAGAGTGAGGTGGATCTGGCACTAAACACTGCTGATATATAGCCCCCAAAGCATCCCACTGGGGAATAGGGCCCTCATTGGGGGAAAAGTTCCACACACTGGTAATGAAGAAGGAAAAAAATTACATTCCTTCAACAAATCTGTCAATAGAATCTGTGTTGCCAAATTGATTTTCTACACTTGGAGGTTTCTTGGCTATGAAGATAATAAAGTCTCATATTTAATGAAACTACCTTGGAAAGAAGGCATTCTAATATGCCCCAAATTCTCTGCAATAATCATCCTATTGGCTAAGAGTATATAGAATGCTAAGTTTTTATTTGTGTTAACATGGGAAGCAGAAATTGTGATGGGACCATAATAGGGTTGGATTAGTTGAATTTTGATGAGACTATAAAAGGGTTCAATTTGAACATTAGGCTTACTGACGTTTGATTTGAGTTTAGGAGTATGCTTGGGAGCAGAGGGCAGCAAAAGCTGCTGTTAAGTCATTTCTGTCTACAGCATGCCCTGGTAAAATGGGAACTTGCTGATACAGCAGGCATCTGTGTCTTGTTTTTGGTGTTCTCCCACATTGAACTGTAGCAGAGTGGAGAATCAGGCTTGATGGGCTCCATATTTTACAACGCGCAACGCAACCCAACATCTGGGAAGCACTTAATGGAGAATTAATCTTGTTTTTAATGTGTGGGGAGCAGGGATAGCCCTAGGCATTTTGTTCTTGATTATTTGTGGTTAGTTTTATTTTTCCATCCTGTTGTCATGGTTTGCTGCCAAAAAAAAAGGCAAGAAGGAAAGCTTGGCAAGCTGTTGGGAAATAGACTAACCTGTAAGGTGTAATGGTGTGCTTGTAATATGGAGATTATTTGGTCTGCCATCCTAAGTTTTCTTCTTGATGAACTCAGTGGAAATTACCTCCTGGCAAACAAATAAACCTAGGATTAGGTTGTTTCTGTCCAGCTGGGATACTGAGTACACTGGAGGTTATCATTATTATTATTATTATTATCATCATTATTATTACAATTTATTACCCACTGTTCAGCCCAAGTTCCTTGGAGGGTTATAGCAAATGAAACACACTATTAGAGGGTACCTTCTCCAGAAATCTATCCCCAGTTTCTGGGAATAGGAACACAATAGGCTATTCACTAATTAACTAAGGTCTGCTTTACACATGCCTGCTCATAACTTGCTATCTCATCATTTGATGGGCTCACAGATGAAGCAAACCACTTTCGCTGAACAGTATTGGATGCAATCCAGCACGAGTTTGTTGCAATTTAAGGTCCATGGAAATCTTTGGAATTTAATCACCCATTTCTGTAGGCAGATGAAGCCCTACATGTGTGTCCTATCGCAGGACTAATAACATGATTTTTTTTTAAAAAAACCTTTCCCTCAGAAAATGGGCAGAGGATCCAATGCATGAGATTTTTAGTACAGCTTTTTTTCTTTTTAAGGCAGTAACATGGCTCAATCCTAAGTCAAGAGAATATGAACGGGAAGCATTGCAAAGAGCTTTGCTCTAAGCTATTTGGTTATAAAAAGCATTTCACATTGCAAGTACAACATTAGGAAAAGAAACCAGGCACTTCTGATGAAGTACCACCCTTTACTCGTGATACAAAATGAAAGTTTCCTTTATTTGTGGCTAAGGGAAAACTTAAGCGCAAGGAGAACTTATCTTCTGTCTTGCCTTGCCTGGCGTCTTGTTTTAGGCGCCCGCTTTGTTTCTAGTGCAGGGAAAGAAGGATGTGTCTTTAATAAACAAGCCTGGGAACTAATACAAATCCATGTTGACAAATGCTTGTCAGGAAGAAAACCAAAGACGCAAAATCAATACACAGCCTTGCATTAAATCTCAATGCTTAGAGATAGATATCTTTGCTGTTCCTTTCTCTCTCTCCCCTCCTTTTTTGTTTACTAAATAGCTGTCCCTGATTAATTTAGGATAAACAAAAATGTGTAGACTACAAAAGTACCCCCCCACCCACGCAGATGATAATAATAAAAAGTTTACAGTGAACCTTTTTCAAACAGTCTTGTATTTTATTTTAAGGGGGAACAGGAAAAAAAGGATACAGCCCACCCCTCCCAGCCTTCTTTCTTCTGACACCATTTTACTTTAGAAAATCTCAAAGTACAAGTGAATACATGACACTCGTGATGTCTCCAGTGTACACATTTTACGTTTGATTTATGACATTACTATATAGGTGCACTTGACAGCTTTCAGATTGAAGCAGAGACAAGAGAGCTTTAAAGTGAGATGGGTTATCTGGGTAAATCTATCAAGGGTTTCATCCTGGGAGAACAAGGAGAGAGGCTTTGTAGAGCCCTGCTGTGTAGCAAGCCTCATGCTGAGCACATCCCAAGCTCCCTGACAGTTGCGCACAGCCTTCACTGTAATAACGAATAAAAGGGAGCTCCCTGTAGATTACAGATCTTCCGTGTTTTGACATTGACCTTAATACATAATTTAACCACAAAGCCTGAGAAGTGTGGAACAAGATAAGAAAAGACCACAGAACTGGCAAATAAAGTGATGTTCAATCAGAAATCATATTTGTTCCTGATAGTGGAGATGTGGGCATTAAAAAGGGAGACAGAGAAAGATTGAGGGGAAAGAAGGAGAGAGAGAGGGAGAGATTGAGGAAAAATGATCTGGGTTATTTGAAGAGTTATGGATCTGTTTTAAAGGACATATGGCTGTCAAGTACAAATTTGCCTGGGAAAACATGGTAAAACACACACAAAGGAGTCAATAGTTATTACATTTTTCAAAATTGGAGGTTATTTCTTTTCTTGAGCAGTCTAAGCATGCCTTTAAGACTGGTCACTGTGTTCACACACAAACCTTGAACTTGGGGGTTGCAACAGGAATGATACAATGCCATGCATGGATGACGCTTGGTTTGGGAACTCGAGGATACTTATGCCTTAAGAAGAAGAGGTGGTTTTCCTCACCCATTTTATGGACAGAAACTACCTTTCGTGCAATAGAGAAACAGGGTGGTGGCATGGTAATAGTATATTTAACATATAGAAACAAACAAATGCAATCCCATACAGTATATGTCTACTCAGAAGTCAATCTTAGGGTTACTCAGTATATAGGACTGCACTGTTAGATGTTCATAATTAAAGCCCAGTGCAAATGTTTCTTATATTATTCCTCATTACAAGAATTTTGAGCAAATTTTAACCAAATTTACACATGTTTAAGCACAGTGATTTTCAGCGGGAGCAGTTAATGTGCTTAAATCTCACTCAGTCATTTCAATCTCTGCCACTGAAATGGTAAAAGAGAATTTCCGTATGCAACATTAGTGGTTTATTAAAAGGCTGCCAGAATAACAAATTATTAGCTAGTGTGTGCCTGGGCACAGAAAGCAGAGTCCAGAAACAACCAGCATTCGTATGAACATAGTTTGGCACAGAAAAGTCAAGATGGTTTTGTAAAGGGAGACCATGCACAGGATTTTGAAAGTTAAATGTCCCCAGGTATGATATCCTGATTTATTATCTTAGCATTAGCCTGGAATCAGATTTTTCAAGAAGGTTCAGAGTAGGTAACAATACATTTCATTTATGCAAAAATCCTCCAGGATATTATCCAGCACAAGATCCACAGAGATTAATGAGAGCTCCATTCATGTGCATGGGAACTACCTTCTAAACCATACAAGCAAGGGCCATCCCAAGTTCACCTACGGCTCTTCCTTCCTCTGACTGCTTTATCAAGTTCAGTCTATTACATTTCAAACAATGTCTATAGCTCATGGTACATTGAAAAGCTCTTGCACAATGAAAAAATAAAACCTAAACATTCTAATAATTGTTAGCATTTAAAAACCAAACCCTGTGATTTGTGGTAAGATCTGTTTTTTTTTATACATTCATCAATAATAAAGTATTTGTGCTTGCAACAGCTATGGTTGGTATGCTATATGCTAGGTTCTTTATCAAGAGATTCCTCAATAAGGAGATTAGTGGTTTTATTTATTTATTGCATTTATAACATGCCTTTCCTACAAGGAGGGCATGGCTGTGCACATGCTACCTTATTTATCTACACAACAACCTTGTGAGGTACGCTATGTAAGAGATGCCCACGGTCATAGCTGAGTGAGGATCTAAATTAGGGTCCCCCTAGCCCTAGTCCAACACTCTAAGCACGACAGCCTACTATCTCTGTCAGACAATCTTCCCTAAACTATGCCAGACAATGAATATATATATATATATATATATATATATATATATATATATATATAACTTAAAGCATCCATAGGGGATTGGCATGGTTTTCTAAACTCTTTCTGCCATACTGCTTCCCTGACCTAAATATCCCAGTCCTGAATCTATTAGCTCCAACAAAGCAGGTGGTGGAGGAGGAAATAAATGCATGTCTATTTCTGCTGAAAGCGCTAACAACGGGTCAGGGATGGGGTGCAATGGAGTGGGTTAGATCAGGAGAACAGTGTCAAGGAAAGGATTAAAACCCTGCTCCCCAGTGCCACTTCTCTGGTTAGATTTGGACCCCTGCTACAGCTGTCTTGAAGTAAAAATAAAAATATGATCATGGATCACCCATAACATATGTAGCGTGAGCCCGAGAGACAATTTGTTCACCAGCATCAAACTTCCTTGCAGCTTGAGCATGGGTGTACTCAAAGGAACATTTTGTTCCCGGACACTGAGGTCCAGTGCTGAGGGCCTTCTGCTGGTTCCCTCACTGCGAGAAGCGAAGTTACAGGAACCAGGCAAAGGGCGTTCTCGGTAGTGGCACCCGCCCTGTGGAACACCCTTCCACCAGATGTCAAAGGAAAAAACAATTACCAGACTTTTAGAAGACATCTGAAGGCAGCCCTGTTTAGGGAAACTTTTAATATCTGAAGGACTATTGTTTTTTAATATTTTGTTGGAAGCCACCCAGAGTGGCTGGGGAAACCCAGCCGGATGGGGGGGGGTTATAAATAAATTATTATTATTATTATTATTATTATTATTATTATTATTATTCCAGTGGAATAATAGGAAGGTCCAACAGACCAGGCCGGTATGTAATGGAAGCTGAGTGTACCCCAATCTTTTGCAGTGGTTCCTTGACAGATATGTGGGGCTTCTATGACTGGCAATCGGGGGGAAAGTTCCACTCCGATAGATTTGGAAACCACTGTTAGAACACGGAAAGATCTGGAGCACAAACCTATGTCATCACCAGAGCTACAATTATTCCCACCCCACCCCGTCAAAAGAAAACAACAAGATTTCACAAGTCATTCAGATAGAAGGGTGGGAGATCTGCTAAATTTCTGTGCATTATATATGTGGCCAATATAACAACCGTAATGGTAGAGAACATGTACGTGCAGAACAATAAAAAGATGCTAAGCAGGCCTTTCCATGTGGCGGGTACACAGTTCTTGATTTTCTCTTTGGTTGTAACTTCAAAGCTGAAACCAGCCATAAATCATTGGCAGGGTGGGAAATGCAATAAAAGACTTGGAAAGACACCATCAGGGGTACATCAAATGTGGACTTTTAAAAAGCACAAAAAGATGCCATGGCTCTGAACTTCGAGCCAGCACATCACCTAGTGATGATGTCAAATGCAGGGCCAAAAGGAATACGCTCAGTCTTAGAATGCACACACAATCTGATGATTTGAGGATGTGAATATCATCAAACACTGATATGTCACCAAGAAGCACAGAATCAATCAGAAGGCATCAAAGAGCTATGCTAACACGGCATGCAGGGAGAAATTCTGCAAACTGCCAAAGAGCAAGTCAACAATCGTTATCTGCACATTTCTAAAAGACTTCATATTTGTAGGAGTAGCTGCATATTGTATATAATGTGAAGTATAATGCTGTTGAGAATAGTGGTGGAGTGGTACATTTTGAAGTGCAAGAGCTCCTCATGAAGTCTCCATAGTCACACTGTCAAGATTTAATAGACATGCTTCCAATAAAAATCCAAAAAAATGCAGGCAGTTGTGTTAATCCATTATTAAACACACACACACACACACACACACACCCCAGCAGTATATAGCATAATAACCAATATATCAGGATTAACGTGACTGCAAAGTTATGAACAACTTTCTGGGAATAAGCTGAATTGAACTCTGTGGTGCTCAGTTCTGACTGCATAGCTTCAAGTTGTAAAACACAGTGGATGTTAGCAAAAGATAAATGCAACCTTTATCTTGTAGATGGCTAACACTTTGCTTAGGGGTTCAATTTGCCCCCCTCCAATTTTTGATGGCCCTTCAATATTCAATTGATTGTGGTGATGGCAGCAAAATGTTGTGCTACGTTAAATACAGAGGTTTAAACCTCTCTGCTCAGCCTGGGAATGCATCAGAATGCAACAAGTCCCTCCTCAACTGATCCACATGCCACAGCAAAAGGTGGGCCTGTGTGCAAGAGAGTGGTCTGTCTACACCCATTGCTGGCATGTGGTCCCCTAGAAATTTTTGCTATGGCTTTTAAAGGGAAATCCATACAATCCTGCAAAAAAGCATTATTTAAAATAAACTGCTGGTGTGAAGGAGAAACCTCATAAAATAAAAGAATGTATCCAGCCTCTGTATGATTGTTTCCCTAATTTTCTTGTTTCCTTTTGTGCTAAATTGTTACAAGCAAACTTGAAAGGCTCATGTCATCTCACCCATTCACCAGAGCAAGGGCAGTCTTTTCAATTACCCTGGTGCTCTGACAGATGATGTCGTAACTTCTGCTATGAAAAACATAAATAAAATAAAGTCCTGGAGCTGAGATTCCCTGGATTGCTCCTCCACATTATCACTGGCTGAGAAGAAAAATGTCAGGAGCTGTATTTTGTCACGTGTTAAAGTCTCCAAGCCAAGCACAATCTGGCCACTGGCATTGAGGAAATATTGGGCACAGGAGAAACTCTTCCGAAGTAGATATATATGGAAAGAAATGAAACAGAAGCCATAATATTGGAATTAGCTCAGGAAGGGAGAAAAGTGGATGATTGAGGTAGCAGTGAACCCATGCCCTGGTTCAGGCCTGCCAAGCCATTTTAAGCTGCTCATCAGCTGCCATACTGTGATGGGTAGGAAAATATCTGTATCGGCTCTGCTGAAGAACAGAGATAAAGATTGTCCTCCCCATCAAGGTACTGGGAGAATAGGTTTAAATCTCTCTGCCCAGCCTAGCATGATGATGGGACAACTTGAATGTCCATTACAGTGCTGCACTGGGTGGAGAGGAAGCTGTGATGGAACAGAATGTGGTGTGTGCATGAATGCATGCATGTGTGTCAGCACAGAGAGTGTGACTATTTTGGCCACGACTGCTGGTATGTGGCCCTGAACGAGTTGGCCAAACCCAACTTCAGCCCTCAGCCCAGCTATCATGGAGGGGAGATAAGGCAGCAGAAGAAGGAGGGTTCACTATAAGTACATGCTACTTGTAATAGTGAAGCTTCCCTTCACAGGATGGTTGTGCAAAAAGGGGTCTTCCATCCTCACATCTAATTTCGGCCTTTGAGCACCATCAGTTAGATCGCCCTCTTTAAAACCTATGATCAATGGAAACCCATTCAATACAATCAGTGCTGACAGTGGTTGGCAAGGCTTTACACACTTTGCAAACTAGACCCCCTCCATTAACTCAACCTTTGATGTTTCATCAGACTCAAAATACATGATCCAGAAGGAAGCTATGCCGTGTTTCCACGTAAACCGAATCGTTCTTAAACAGGACTGTTCTTAAACCAAGGAACCACTGAATTTGTGTCCTCTTCAAGGAACGGAGGAATCAGAATCAGAATCCCCCTTCATGTAAAGGTGGTCTACACGGGTATATCAGCACACACACAGAGTTCCTTCACAAGCCAGTTGAATGCTTGGGTGGCAATGTGGCGTAGTGGATGGGGTGAGTCAACAAGGCCCCACAATCCCCCTTGTGCATTTTTTCAACGTATGTAGGTGGTCATCCTTTTTGATTGGCAAGGACTCTCCAGGCGCTTAGTCTTTCCCATCACCTATCCAATCCTTTTAACAGGACATGCCAGGCACTGAACTCTGAGCCTTCTGCATGCAAAGCAGTTGATTCACCAATGAACTGTGGCACCCCCTCCTCACATTATTTTCATCGACACTTTACTGAGGAGGTGTGTGTTGGCAATGCCCATGTGGGACCCTGCCCTTTTCGGGTATGAACCTTTTTATTGCAGATAAATTGATTTAGGACAGGATAGATAAAGCTACTGCTATAGCAGTGACAGGTTTTGAAAAGGAGACTAGGCCCTTAACCTAGTATAAAGCAATATCATACCACCCTACTTGCATGACACAGGCCATTTTATAAGACATGGGTTAAATGGGTGTCTAGTGTGTACCTACAATGCAGCCATGAGGCACTTCAGAAGTCTTTGCTTCAGTCTGGGGTTTATTAGACAGATCCCACCTTGCCTTCAACAAGTCTGGAATCTTTCCAAACGATCCCACTTCAGTTCAAGATTCACTTGAATCCACTGCAAGGTCCTAATACTAATACTAAAATGTTTTTCTTGGAGTTTTTATATCTATATAATATACTTAGTATATGCTGATATACTTAGTATATAACTAACAAGAGAGTTTGAAATTAGGCTTGTGACTTCATTTTTTAAATATAAAAATATATATAATATATAATAAATATAAAAATAGTGCTTAAACATATGGGTGTGATTCAACTAAGTTACTTAGAAAAGACTCCTTGAAATAAGCATGGCTAAGTTAGGTCAAGTAATGTCAGTGGGTCTACTCTTAGTTGAAAAGTATCCAGTCCAATTGATTTCATATTCACAATGTCTTGACATTTTTTCCCTCCATTTCACTATATGAAAGTTATATGTCCCAACTGTATCTACTAGGTGCCCACTATCTGACACTGGGTGTCCATTTGGCCATACAACTATTAGGTTTTGTTTTTTTTAATGGCCTTGCCTGACTTGCTTCCAGAGTGTACCATTCTGAGGCTTCAGCCTTCTGGAGGAGAGTATATGGTTAAATAAGACTTAAAGAAGTAAAGCAAGCTGACAGAGCCTTTTGGGATTCCTCATGGTCCTGCAATGAGTAATAACACCACATGTTAATTGAATTCCCTGCTGTGTGGATTGAACAAGTCCCTTTCCCCTGCTATCAGGGACAGCCTGGCTGATTTATATCACGTATAAGACTAGGCCGAGAATAAGAACCTGTTATTCAAAGGGTCATTTTGCAGTAGTAGTGGAACTAAGTCACCACAAGCAGCCGATTTTTGGTGTGATGCTCCTTTTATTCATTCGGCATCAGTGTACATGACACAAAGAAGATCCCTGTCCCAAGGAGCTGCCCAATTTGTCGATTTCTCTCATTGCCTCCTAGAAAACTTCAATATGTGAGCTGATCCAGGAGATGGTGAGCTGCAATCTTAAAGAGAACTGGAAATGGATTGGGACCCTCAGAAGTTGGGTGATCATGCCATAAAATGCATCTAGACAGGCAAGGACTGCTGCTGACATTCATAACCGCTGTGGAGGTTTGTAATAAAAATAAGTGCGTAAGATTGCACATTATCCTGGAAATTTAAGTCTATCCACAATAAACATTCTGCTTCATATGGGCAGAGATGGAAATGTATGAATTATTCATATTAGTTATGAATGCATGTAACACCCTAGCCATCAGTATGAATTATGTTGCATGATAATTCAGCCATTTTGGGGTGTGGGTGTGCAGTTACACACAAGCTTGCAAAGGCCCCAGGCTATTTCTATGGCACTTTTATTGACACCAGCCACAGTTTGTTGACCACTCAGTTGTGCTTTCAGGAAAAATATGGACACAGTCCAACCATGATTTTTAAAAATGATTTTGTGTATTTATAATATTATTATTTAGAAATATTGCTTCTGAACCCAGAAATGGTATAGCAAGATACCATGGCTGCAAAAAGCCAACTGGTGTCCTACTTTATGCCCCAGTGGCTATGGTGCCAGGTGTCAATCTGAGAGGTGGTTTTAAAACTCTCGTGAAAGTTCTAACCAAAGCATACTTTAAGAAGAGCGTGGAATGTATAAGGGCTTTGGAATGACGCAGTTAAAAATACCGTCGCCATATTGGGAAGTTCTGTCGGAGGACTTAAGTCTGGGAGGAGAAATAGAGAAATAGAGCTGTTTTTATATTGTGGGTGAAACTTCTCAGAGGGACTTAAGAATGACAGTTCTGTGATTATGATGGAAAGAGCAATGTTATTTATGAATGCAATGATATATGGAAACCATCTCGATTTGAGGATTGGATGAATGGAAAATTCACACAGGATTATTATTGGTGTTTATCGGCTTAAGGAGATTATCAGAAGAGATCATAAAGAAAAAAGAGAAAATATATGAACAAGATGAGATGCGGAAACAGCAAGATAAGACTGGATAGAATTATGAACTTTGTTTGGACTGATTCGGACATTAACGCAGTAGCAAGAAGATGATCAGAATCCCCCTTCGGATCTTGGAATATGGGTCCCCTCAACAAAATTTAAAATTCGGCTTTGTAATTCGGAATTTATGTGATGTGATTTGATTTGATTTGATTGGTCGGTTAATAAAAATTATTTTAAAAAAACACCTCTCGTGAAAGTTCAGTTTTAAGTGAAAATTTATCCTTATATACACTTTTTTTGGATGCAATTTTGCCCAACACATTTTTGCAAGCATTTCCCCAAACAGAATGCATTTTTGTATGTTGTTTTCTCTAACATATGCATCTTCATGCAGACTTTTCCCTAATATATGCAATTTTGTACACAGTTCTGGGTTGGAGAAGTGCAGAGTACAACATTTGGAGAAGTGGGAATTCTGAAGGACAGCTGCATTTTGGTTTGTGTATTGTTGTGGGACGTGCAAATTAGGTAGGTTTTTATTCAAATGAATTTCACCCCATCTCTACTTATGCTCAAGCCAATTTAAATCTGGCCAGGTGGCAATTCTAGGTACATCTGGATATCTATTTTTTTTTTTTAAAAAAAGAAAGGCAGGGTGAGTAGCTTAACATTGTGTCTTACCTGTATTTTTTTTAGAAACAAATTCTCTTCTATTAAAAATAGTAGAACTAATTTAGTAGCATGTTCAAATAGGGATAATAAAAAAAAAATTCTGTAAGGAAGAGAAAATCTTTTGGGGCCCAATTACTGTTAATTTGTAATCCTGGAGGTCAAGTGCCTGATTAAATATTAACATAGGAGAAAGGTCACTGTCTTTTGCGATTCTCTCTGCCCTGTTTCAGTATTCCATCAGATACAAAGAGCTCTTTCAGTGAGCGTTTCACGAGAGAAGAATTGTTTTGCTTGAGCCTAATCAAGGCCTGCCTTATGGTTTTCATCTTCAAAAACGAAAACCAATCACTTGTGGTGTCATATCTATGGACGTTTTCATGGACTGGCTGGATGCAGAGACTGGTGGGACTGGTGGGAGGCACCAACTGGGGAACCCGCAAGGGAAGAAGGCTCAGAGCCAGAGGGTGGGTGGTGGGATGATGATGAGTGGTCAGAGGGAGAAGAGCAAGCAGCCTGGGAGGAGGAGTTGTCAGAAGGTGAAGAGGTAACAGGATTTAAGGAGCAGGTGGAGTCTGTGGCAGAGAGAAGTCCAGTAGCAGACATAGAAGCAGAGGCTGGACAGCAGGGAGACCAAGAGGCAGAGATGAGGCAGGCTGGTGAAGAAGCCAGGGGGTCTCCCCCTCCTGTTGGGACTAGCTCCTCTCCCCCTGGTCTCCCAGAATCAGAAGAGGTATGAAGAGGGCAGAGCAAAGACAGACAAAGCGTCGGAGTCTCATATTGCTTGGGAAGGACCTGGGGTAGGAGGAGACACAGGGTACTGTGGGAAAGTGGGGACCTTCAGTTCTTGCAAATACCTCATTGAGGCTAGACCTACTGGGAAGAGTTGCCACACTCATTAGGCCTGGCCTCCTGAGCTGTTTTGTTTCTTTGGATAAAGATAGGTAACTTCACTGGCACCATGTGAGTTATTGCTGACCTGCTCCTGACACCCGCCCTGACAGACGTCAATGCATCTAGTGGATTGCTTCCTTAAAATGTTTGGATCATCAACCAGTAGGTGATACCCAGAAGCATCCAACTCCCAGTTCAGTTTCATAAGCTTCTTTTTGGGAATCAGATTCCCATCAGCTGTCTTTGGCATTCTTGACAACAGTTGACCAACGCTGGCTGTAGGATAGCTACATCTGACTGCAAGCTCAGATTTTGGGCGACAGGCCATAGCTCAGCTGCAAAGCACGTCTCAGGTTCAAGCTAAAAGAAAAGGGGCAGCCTCCTTCTACCACCACCACCACTCATTATTGATGGTGTTATTAGTCTAGGGAAGGAAGAAGACATTTCCAGTCCTGAGGCAGCTTGGGAAGTGATTTTTTTTTATCAGAACCATGACAGGGGAAAGAGAATTAAATCCTGCTCCCTGTGTCCCAGAGCCCCAATCTCTCTCTCTTGCCCTGCCCCAACAGCTGTTGCTTAAAGAACAAAAATCAGGCTTGTTCAATGTTGACATGTGTTTAGCATCACATCTAGTTCGGCCTTAATTTATTTAAACGAGCTGCATAAATCCCAACATGTTTCAGGCAAATAGCTCTCGATTAGCAAATAGAAGAGCAGATAGAGGCTACCTTTGGAAGAAGAAGAAGAAGAAGAAGAAGAAGAAGAAGAAGAAGAAGAAGAAGAAGAAGGTCTTAACAATTAAGCATTTCCCCCCTTGAAATAAACGCACACAATGAACACTGAGCAACACTTCAATGGCACATGAATAGGAATGCATTACCGTGGTATGAAGTGAATGATACTTACACCTGAGCAAGGGTGCGTAAATATAGGCTTGCAGCCCAAAACATGCAAATGAACATACCAGTAATTCTGCAGAGAAAACAAAATTTAAAAATATGTACAGGGATCAGAATATATTTCCTCAAAACATAAGGAAAAACAGAAAACAAATCTCCTATGGTACAAAATGTAACTTAGGAACTTAGACAACAAACATATACAGAATCAAACCACGAAGGCTCTGTGAACAACAACAAAACATTTAACCCTCAAATAAGCAAGGACTGGAACAGCTTTCCAAACTCCTCACCGATCAATAAAAAGAATAGGATTCCTGGCATAGCTTCATATCAAAAGGCTGGTCTAACTGGGAATGCTTGTCTAACGTGGGCCTCAAATCTCTGAAAGACTGCCTCCTTCCCAACAGACCCTGTCAGGTTTTAAGATCAGCAGGGCAGACCCTCTTGGTAGCTCCACTGCCCTCAGAAGCTAGGAATGTTGGGGGGTCCGGGAGAGGGAAATCTCTGTGGCAGCCCCCAAGTTGTGGAATCCCCTCTCCGCAGAGGTGTGTTTGGCACCTTCATAATACAGCTCTTGAAATCTGTTGGAGATGCACTTCATTGCTTTAGCTTGGATGCCTGAGATGTGCTTTTGGGACCGACCTGATTTGATTATTTTTCATGTTGAACTTAATATTGTTGCAACCCTCCCTGTTACCTCCTGGCAAAGGGTGGATAATAAATTTAAAAACAGCAACAACAAAGAGCATACTCATAGTTATATCCTCCATGTGAAGAGGTGGCAGGGCTACATGCTAAGTGCCTTATGGGCTGAGAAAGTTCCAAAGTACGTAGGAAACTGTACACAAGCTTCTTGGCAGAGAGCTCTATTAGGTATTAAAACCTGTAGTCCTCCCAGACCCGAATCAAGGAGTAGTGTGAGAAAGGCATGTGCCCAGGGCAGTGGGGTGGGGATCGAAATAGCATAATGTGTGAGAAAGAGAGCAGAAAACCTTTATTGCTACATTTTATGGCTATTTTTCCTTCTCAGGTCCATTGGCTAATTAAAAGAGGAATTAAAAAATCAACTTGTTTTTAAGGTCTGATCTTATCAGCATTTTTTTTTTAAAGTAAACTGCTTAAAAGTTTTGGTGATTAAGCTGTGTACGAATTCTGATAGACAGGTGGATAGATAAGCAGAGAAATTAAGACATATATTACTTAATAGCCTACTCATAAAACAAGCCAAAACAAGGCGGAGCAGTGCCCACGTAGGTACAACCGGAAAGGTATGGTATATTTCTATTTATTTTCTTTCATTCATTTTCTCCCTTTCTTTTGTCATGGAATCCAAAGGTAGGCCCCAACTAGGCGCACTGATCAGACCCAGGCACCTGTTTAGCTTCAGGAAGTCAGGGACAGGCTTTTTACTTATTTATTTTATTAAATTTATATGCTACCAAGAAATCCCAGGGTGGTTTGGTAATATTGCTTTGCTAATATGGCGCCCTGAGTGAAGACAAAAGTCACACCCTCCTTCCAGTATTTCTCATTTTCACAATAATTCATTTCGATACAGTTGCTTTTAAATATTTTCAGTAGGTACCTGCATAAATATAGGTATTATTATTATTATTATTATTATTATTATTATTATTATTTTGTGCCCTCTCAGCCTTGCACCCTATACAGAGAAACCACCTTCACCAGGTTAAATCCAGCACAGGTAAAATGGTAGTCTGATTTGCCTTCATACTATACCCTGGAACCCTATTAGATAGGGACTGTTGGTTATGTATCAATCAGCTCATCATTCAACTAATGTCTTGCAACAACATTAGCATAGCTCAACGGTAGCATAAAGCCCCCAGTTAAATCCCTGATTATTCCATTTGTTAAAAAAGTTCAGTTAGAACGCGTAGCGAAAAACCTTTTCTGGAGTGCCACCGGCAGTCAAGTGAGTAGACAACTCTGCCTTTAACTAGAAATGAGACAAAGCACAAGGACAATACAGATATGTTGGGTGCAAATGCTAATCGCACATGTAAACAAGCTCCATGGGGCACCTATAGTAAGATTGACTCTCTGGTCAGGAAGTCCTCGTCCTTTAACTGCCTCCTCATCCACTTTACCACCAGGTGGCAGTGTAGTAATTACAATCTGCTCTCTGGATTTGTATTCTTGCATCACCATAAAAAAGAGCTCTTTCCCAGACATACCGGGTAGGGCTTATATTCCTGCAGTCCTCTAGGAGGCTGTCCACCAGTGATTCATCCGAACTGAATTCTGCTAAATCTGGTCTGTGCATAAATGTTTTGCTTTCTCATTTTTAAAATGAACTGTGAATACATATTTAACATTTAATGATAGGGCTTACCCGAGAAATGCCAGAGAGGCAAAATAGCCTGCATTTTGTGGGAAACGTATTAAGAATCTGAGGTATCTAGAAACAGCTTTTGGGAAAGTAGTCCGGTGTTCAGAGTCCAGGCAGAGGGGCCTAAACAGCCTGACACATATTGGGCCCCCATTAGTTTTATATGCATAGATGCTGAAGAAAAGAAACTACGGAAGAATTTGTGTCAACTCATGCTTTCCAAAGCCTTAGCAGGATGGTGTTTTGATTTATTGTATGTAATAGATTTCATTAATTTTTTATTATATTAAACAAAATATTATACGCTGCATTTCAAGACAAAATTTTCTCGAGATGGCTTACATCAAACCACAATATCCATGAAACCACAATGTAAAGGAACCACTGCAATATTAAAACAGCTGCAGTTAAAACAATCTAGGGCACCACATATCATTTAGTTTCAAATTTTTGTAATGGTGTAAGTTCCTTTATTATTAAGTCTCACACAAGAACCCTATTCATTTCCTCCCTATAGATACTAATTCATTGGAGAATGTGAGAATTCAGTGAGTATATGCACAGACACCAGTAGTTCTGCACATTCACACAGGCAAGGAGAATATGCAGAACAGGAAACCACGAATAAGGCAGTTTGAACATTGGATAGTCAGCACATATAGTCTCCAAGGGATTCTGGAAAATGTGCACTATGGAAAAATCGCTGTCAGGCAATATAGACATTGTCTGTTTGTCAGTGTCCTGATTCTCAGCCTACTTACCGTTTTGCTCATGAAAAGCCCTGCCACAACGGAAATAAAATTGTGCCTTTGTTGTTACAATTGCAACAGATTAACACAGCTTCTCTTCTATGGAAACTGCATATAATTTAACAATTTGTGCATTAGACCGTCAAGGAGGAAACAGTGATGAAAATCTCTGAAATCTCATCCGAGATTTGTCTCATAAAGAAAGAAGAAGCTTGCATCACTATGGGTTGAAAGTCAACATTAGTCCTACTCAGAGTAGACCCATTAGAAGCAGTGGGCAAGTCCACTGCATTCAGTGAATCTACTCTGCATATGACTAATCGGGGATCTCAGGCAATGCATTTACCATCTTGTTACCCAAACTGCAGGGAATTGCTGAGCTATCGCTCTGAAGAGGACACAAAATGCACTGATAAGAGTTTATTCATCATTAGGAAAAATGCATTGGGCTCATAAATACTGAATACAAATTGCAAAAGTAATACAAATGTTAAAGGACATGGCCTTTCGTTAGATCAAATGTCTGTTCTGCTTGATTTCTTTGGTTAAGAGACAGAGAACTGGTAGCGAATCAATTAATAACAAGTAAAATAGAAATTACAAATTTTGGGGGATCTACAAATGATTGGCTGGTTGTGGTGTGTGCCTGTGCATATGTACAGTTGCACACCACTTTGACAGACTATAAACTTTCTCACCTATATAAATAAATGTGTGGGAAATAACCAAATCTAAGAAACTTTACAAATTTGGTTCAAATTAAGATGGCAATACAGTGATGTTGTTATAGTGGTCTAAATGGTTAATTAATGGAAGATTGTTTTGGAGAAGAAGCAAAGTACAAATATAGTCCTTCCTCTGAATTATATAACGATAAGGTAGGACTGAAATATTTAATTTTCTCTCTGTGTACGTATAGAAATATAAGCAAACTATTAGAAAAGGGAGTTTACAATAATTTAACATAGATAGACAATCTGCTGAGGATCTACACTATATCCTCATTCTGTCAATCATTGTTATAGCTTGTGTTGATGTATTTATAGGCACTTCTGTGTAATAAGTGGTAAGTATTGACCATACAACCTCTGGGTAATTGCCTCCTACATAGTTCGATGTAATGTAAAAGCTCCCATGTTTGAGCTTCATTATGCTTCCTGTGGAAAGAGCCTGCAGACTGGATGTGCGATGAAATTTCCCCCCAACTGTATCGCATCTGGGTGTTAACACAGTGGCAGACCTCTGCGGAATGACACTAGCCAAATAATCCACCGTGCTGGGCTGCATTAGATTGTTGTGCATGTCAACTGTTTGCATTGTGATGAGCCAAAACATTACGAGGAACACTTCTGTTCCGAAAATGACATTTTCGAAACCATTTTTCATTTTACAACTCCCACAAGCTTAAGTGGTTGCCACCTGCAAACCCAGCTTGGTGACTCAACGCTGCTGCTCTTTTAAGCCAAAGAATTTGCAGCGAGTTTTAATGGGGAAAATTAATTGCAGAGTAAAGGGCTTAATGGCTTTAGGAAATGAGCAACATATGTCCACATCCAATAAGAGGGATCCAGACATGCAATCGTTTGCTGCTTAGGGTAAGATTTTGTGCAAGTCCTACAATGGCAGTTAGGCCAAACCCCCTAAGCCCCACTGAATACAATATACATGCTTAGAATCGCGTGCTTTAACCTTCCCACCAGAAGAAAAGCTTCTATTGGACACTAGGGAGGAAGAAGTATGAATTGAAGGGCGAAAGAAGAGAACGAAAAGCACAGACTATGCACACTTTGAGAGCAAGTCTCACACAGAGTTACTTCTGAGTCAACATACAAAGGACAAAGGCTGCAGAGAGTTTTCTCTGCTAGAGTTGTGTGGTCTTATTTTGCTGCTGCTGTTTTTACTTTGCATTGATCTTAATAGCCTCCAGCACCTTTTTTTTTTAGGCTGATAGGTGATTACTAGGTTTGTTTGATAATCATGATTTTACAGAGGTTGGAGTGGGAATGGCTTGAATGTATAGGGGCAAAAGATTGAGGGGGAAAGGACTGGCAGATGTGCTTATCTCCCTCAGGATATTCTAAGTCAGGGGTCAACAAACTTACTGCGCCTCAGGTCGGTGTCTCCAGCACCGATTGTGGGCTGGAGGGTGGGGGAGCGCGTGCCCATATGCGTGCGCACGTGCTATTTCCAGCACACCTCCGGGTCGGAGGAGCACTGGAAACAGCTTGTGCACATGTGCACGGGACTCCTCTGACCCAGATGTGCACCGGAAATAATGCTTGCGCATGCGCACAAGCTATTTCTGGTGCTCCTCCGACCCGGAAGTGGGCAGCCATGCAGCGCCGGTAAGAGCGGGCAGCAGGGGTTGCTGCGGGCCAGATAAACAAGTCCCTCGGGACTTATTCAACCCGCGGGCCTTAGTTTGGAGACCTCTGTTCTGAGTTTTGTCTGTCTCCTCCTTCTTCCTGAGTTCTACAAAGGCGAAAATTAAACGAAGGATGAGTTAGCAGTGCCAACACCTGCTAAGGCGTTGTAAGTAAGTAAGTAAGAGGGCAGGCTGAGAGTAGTGGGGCAGTTTTGCACTTGCCTCATGGGCCAGCTGCCACTGAGTACAAGTCCACTCTGCTCAACTTCCTGTTTTCAAAGAAGGCAACGTACAATGCCCCCAAAAGGGGAAAAGAAAAGCATTGCATACAATGGGCTGCTTTTGTCTGGAGTAGGCTGGGATCCAGCAGAGGCTCTTACTGGAGCATGGGGGCAGGCGAGGGCGACGTGTCCCATTTTGCCACTTGAGGGGAAACGGGCAGTGCTGCTTTTGCCCTGAAACTGCCACCACTGCCACCACCACCTCCCTGCTCCTGCCGCTGCCATGCAGGTGAGCTCTTGCCCCAAATCACGTGACATCTTGCGCACTCCACAAGCTCTTGCATGATTTGAGGTGAAATGAACACAATCTTGCCACCAAATGGTGCTTTTCCATTGATGGCAGGGCACCCCTGGGTGATGCTTAAGCGTCCTGAAGCAGAGGCCTCACTCTGTCTAATAGCTTGGCATAATCTGGAGGCAGGCTGCTGCTGGCCCTTGCACTCTCAAGCTGTTTCAGAGGGTTCACCAGCTCTCTGGAACAGACTTTCCAGGGGCAAAGAGGGGTGGGGAAGGGGGAGGCGAGATTCACTAGTGTCCTATAAGCAAAACTCCACTCACAGGATGCTCCTTCAAGTGAAAACTTAGGACCTAAGCCACAAGAACTATGTTGTGATATCCTTTCATAAACGCATCAAACAGTGAGAGGGTTCAGACATTATTTAATGTGCCTGTGCAACCAGGAGAGAGGGAGAATGGACAGGGTTGCATTTTCCTTCCTTCCTTTCTGGCACAGATCCCTGGGAAAGACTGCAGCACATTGGTAGGGCCACTGCTCTGCATCCAAAAGGTCCCAGGTTCAATCCTCAGCATCGGCAAGTAGTAGTAGGGAAGTCCCCTGCTTAAAATCCTGGGGAGTGGCTGCCGGTTAGAGAATAATTCTGAGCTAGATGCGGGACTATAGAGCGCCCCGCTATCCCATCTCAGACCATGCTTTTTAAAGCTCTGTTCATACATAGGTAGGTAGTGCAATAATTTTAATAGCTCTCTTTTTTTTTTTTTGCCTCCTCATTTCATTTAAGTTCCCAGTGTCACCTTTTCCACTTTGTGAAGTGATTACAAAACTGATGTGCCTAACCTGAGATGCTAATACTGTGAAAACGCCTGGAGTAAATAGCTGGTATGTAAATCCCCTCGGCAAGTAAGCTCTTTGCAGTTCACTGTAATGCTAAAATTTGTATTTCAGCTACAGGGAAGGCAATTACATGCAAATAGTCCAGAGTGTAAGGGGGGGGGGACCTCTCTTAAGCTACTGAAGTGGAGCTTTACAAGGGGGGGGGGGACTCATATGGCACAACTGCATAAGGTAAAGATTTGAAACTCCAGTGACGGTTTCTTTCATTTGGCCCTCGTTCATTATGTCAAAACAAATCAATTTGCCTTGAAAGATATAATGTCTGCCTGTCTCTGCACAGATGAATGCCCTAGTTATAACAATGTATGGATATTTAGATTATGAACTTCTGTTCACCAGGGTGATAATAAACATACATTGTGCTTTCCCCGCCTCTAGAGCTGGAGGCAGATATTCACCTTGTCCTAGTTAGAACAGTCATTGATACAAGGTACCAGCAGTCATATTAATAAAAGTTGCTGCATATTTTCCCTTAACCTCCTTTGTAAAATATAGCTTAAGCACCAGAAAACATCCTTCAGCAATGAAAGAAGGTTCTGAATGTGCCCCATCACACATCAGTCTGCCGCTTCAGATACCGGAACACCTTAAAAAATAGGTGAATTGCTTAATTCATTTTTAGCATGTTGCAGTTATCACTTTTACTTCTTCTAACAGAGACACTCTGCACACTTCAGTAGCAGACGAGCAGGTAGAAGTTAAACAGGTACTGTTTTCTGCAGCATAGCAGAACTGCCATGTTGGATAAAAGCCTCACCAGTTGCACTTGCCACAGAACTGTTGAAGGTGCAGAGCCTCTGTCAGTGAAAAAGATGGCGGGCAACCTTTGGGGCAATCCTATTTCATAGAATCATAGAGCTGTAGAATTGGAAGGGACCCCAAGGGTCATCTAGTCCCTGTAATTTCTATCCTGTCCTTCGTCAAGCGAATCCAAGAGAATAAAAGCTTTTTAACATATCCCATAACTAGGGATGGGGGGGGGGCAATGAAACTGAGTTCACATCTGAAGACAAAGCTACCTAATATACAGTTTACAGAACAATATGTGAACTGAAATGTGGCTGTCCCTCAAAATTTTCACCAAATTTTGCAAAGTCCTGTTACTAGGTAAAGTGTGCATAAAATGCATCGATTAGTAAAAAGAACATCTAAAAAGACACCATATTAGGGAAAACCTGCATATAAAAATATGTAGATTAGGAGGAATCCGCACTGATGAATGAGATTTCTTTCCAACTTCTCCAAATTCTGCAATGTACTCCTCCAACCCAAAAAGTGTACAAGGATATATATGGAAGAGGAAAGTGTGCAAACCGGGGGGGGGGGGTATTGGGTTGGTTTTGTTTTTATTATGTATTCTGTGTTTTTTATATTGTAATTTTATGTTGTGAACCGCCCTGAGATTTACGGGAATAGGGTAGTGTACAAATTATATATGTGTGTGTGTGTGTGTGTGTGTGTGTGAAGAATCATGCATTTTATTAGAGAATTTGTTTGAAAAAAATGTACATATTAGGCAAAATTGCATACAAAAATGTGTATATTTGGAGAAATGTGCATTATAATGCCAATAAATTTTCATTGTGACTTCAGTAATAATAATAATAATAATCACAAACTAATATGGAAATGTGACAAACTTAAGACTTGAAAATGAGAAACTGAGAAAAACAGAAAATGACAGCATTATTAACTTCTTGTTATACAGCTGTTAAAGGCACAGGAATACAGTCAAGTCTGGAAATCTATCAGGTATGTGCAGGAAGTATGAAGATCACTGTCCTATTGTGGATTTAAAGACCTTTGTGACTCTTATCAGACCATCTACCTGATCAATAGTATTGCAAGCTTTCAAACTGTGCAAGATTTTTCTTCAGGCTTGGGTGCTCAGAAATGAAATAGAATAAAATAGAAAGGGAAACTGGCATGTCCCAGTTTGGCTGTTAATTGGTTAAGGAACTCTGAGAAGAAAGAGGAGACTGTGATAATTCTGTTTCTCCTTGCTTGTACTAATATATGTTGTTTCTGTATTTTGAGGGCATACTAGACATATTCTTCTAGACATATTTATACTAGACATATTCATCTGAACTGGTAACTTAGTAAAACGCTGACAACTTTGAAAAATAAAACCCTTTTGCTAGCAATTGTGGTTTCATTCAGGCTAGCTTTAAAGTTCATCTGTTTTTCAAATCTTCAGCCTATCAGAACTTCCAATAATGTTTCTGTGCCTTTAAAAATTACATGCCCTGTCTCATGAGTTTTTATCATACCATTACTACTTCCTTGTTCCTTGCAACATTATTATTATTATTATTATTATTATTATTATTATTATTATTATACTGCCCTATACCCAGAGGTCTCAGGGCAGTTCACAGAACAAAATCAAAATATAAAACCACTAAATATATGATGAAAATAAAAACAACAACCCAATAACCACCTTCCCCCAAAACCTCTTAAAAGTACTGGAGCCATCTTAGATTCGAGACCTGGCAAATTTAGTTCTGTAGCAAGCAAAGACCTTCCCAGTAATCTTGGAGCTGAATAAAATGACAGGACTGCTAACCTTTTCATACCAGTCCCTATGCCTTTAACAAGCAGCTTGATCTACAAACATAAGCATGGAGGGATTTTACTTCCCATGCGGTGAAAAGCTTTACCTGTTTATTTCTGAAAATCAAGCTGCTACTAAAGGCAGAGGAGCAAGCTAGCTTGCTTTTGTCAGCTGGCAACCCTAGTGATGGTTGTGGCTACTCAATAATGAGAGACGGGCGTGACATTTTGGTGCCTGAGGCAAAAAAGAAAAAGCCAAATAGTGTCCCACACCAAGATGGTAAAACAAAAACAAATGACCATTTGCTGTCCTTTGATATAGGCACCTCCCCAATTTGCAGTGTGAGGGTGGGTGCCCCACCCTGTTGATGGTGGACCTCCTTTGACAACAGCTCTAAAAAGGTTTGGAGCATTACAGTAATTAACTAAAGAAAAGCAAATATTATCAGACATAGAAACTTTTTTTTTTTAAGAATAATTTTTTATTAACCGACCAATCACATCAAATCAAACCAAATTACATAAATTCCAAATTACACAGCCGAATTTTAAATTTTTGTTGGGGGTACCCATATTTCAAGTTCCGAAGGGATCCAATCAACTTCTTGCTTCTTACTGCTGTTTTAATGTCCACAAATCTAACCTTATGATGTTCACAGTACTATCCAGTCCTTTCTTATTATTTTTCCACATCTCTTGTTGTTATTTTCATATATTTTTCCTTTCTCTTTGTGACCTCTGATAGTCTCCGTAAGCTGGTTAGAACAGTTTGTAATCCTGCGTGGATATTATTTTTTTATCCAGTAGCCATATCCAGACGTTTTCCATATAACATCACTTCCATACATCAAAACAGTCTTAGCGTCATTAATCTTCACCAATCTGCCTCCTTTCTCAAAACCTCTGAGGAGATTCACTAGGAATGCAGTCTGAAAACAAATCCGTTCTTCCTCCCGGCTATAAATCCTTTGGCAAGATGGCGACTCCGAATTAATTGCTGCGCCATTCCCAAAAGCTCTTATTGCTTCTTGGTCTCCAGAAAGCATACTTTTGGTTAAGGTTTATCTCCACACAGACCTTAATCATCCTGCTTGGGTCAGTTCAACTGACGGTTCTAATGAGGAGGGGTTCTTGTAAATCACATCAGACATAGAAACTTTTGGGGAAGGCTTTTGTTCGCATGGTTGTGAGATTGCTTCAGAAATTATTTTGACTTTCTGACTTATGAGCTCTAATGAAATAGTTCTGACACTTACGTTACTGACTTGACCAGCATTTAATGCCTTTGTTGAATGAAACTATGAGTAAATACATGGACAAATTAACTATTTTTGGCACAGAGTTTTTCATATCGGCCAACTGACACAGAAATGATTCCAGCTAATTTCCTTTCCCTTCTGGCAAAAGGCTAATCAAACACTTTAGGGAGATATTCAGCGCTAAGCCTCTGATATGCAGGCAAGGTTTCAGGACATTTTTGAATGCTTGCTTTAAGTGAGGGATAGAGGCTTGGTTTATTCGGGCTGCAGAGTGCCACAATTAACACACAGAAATAATCCCACCAAATTAAAAAGGCACTGATATGCCTGTGTGTTCCATTTCTTTCAGAACTTCTTATATTCCTTGCTGTTCCAAGGAGGTGCCAGTCCTCTGGAACAAAGCCAGATTTCCTTAGGGGAATTGTGGCTCCTAAAAATTGGGTTGCCAGCTTTTTAACATGCTGCCCACAGCTGTCCCTTTAAGAGCAGCACAAGCTGCAGCAAGTTAGCAGGTGATAATGTCTGAGGCAATGCCAGAGTCTTTCAAGGACATACTTGGGCACAGCAGGGACAGTGAGGTGTGTGACAGAGGGACATTCAGAGGGCACTTGACCCCTTGACTGAAATTCCCCACACCTGAATTAGTGGAAGAGAGAGGAACAGGTTCATGGAAGTGTATTACAATAAGGAGCAAGGCAGGCAAGGGAGCAAGCAAGAGGAGGCCTCCATCTGCAAACAGTGTTGCCTGGGCATTTGTACTTGCTACTTTAAAAGCTCTGGACCTGCAGCTGCTGTATCTATGGTTCTGCTGATCCCTTCACATTTCCATTAACCTCCCTTGCTTGCCGCTGCTTCAGAGTGTGATCACAGAACAGATGCAGTCCTGTATGGCTCCAGCAGTTGTAGAAGCACTAGGTTTTTGAAGAGGGATAAAAGAAGAGTAAGATTTTTCCAGGAACAGGTGCAAAGAAGGCATCTAAAAATAAAAATAAAAAATGGCCCAGATACCTGGATTGCTGAAGAGGGCAGGAAGCTGAGTTTTCTTTCTCTTTCATACATTGCTGTGGAACTTGGGGAACACCTCCTTTTTACTTTGTTAGTGCAATCATATGAGTGCTTATTTATAAGTAAGTCCCACAGTGTTCAGCTTGGTCCCTAAGTACAACTAGCAGCCACTCGCTGAAGGAAAGCCTTCGATTTCTAGGTTGAGCCCTGGAACCACGGCATTAAAAGCTGCCTGGAAGAAAGCTTGTTGTTGCAACTGTACACTGTGCACTATCCAGCCAAGAGAAATCTGTACACCTGAGCTGCCTGGGGCTTTCACATCTGAATGTCCTATAAGGAAGATCAAAGGGACTCTGACCACGGTGTGGAAACACACATGGCTATGGTGGGGCATTCACAAAAAAGCTTATGCAGGGGGTTTGAGTAAATGTCCTTTGGGATACCTTGCAACTCTACAATTCTGTGATGCAGATACTTCCACTCTTTGTCCATGAGGCTGCACTGTGTGCAGAATGCCATGTGTGACTCACCTTATACTAATTAGAGACATGAGTTTGCATGAGGCCAATTGCTGACAATGTCCTGTACATGAGGCAGGAAGGACATCCAGGAGCTTGAAAATTAGTCATGGTCTCCATCCCTTATAGCCTGTCTGTTAGTCTTGTTTGTTACACGGATAAATAGGGTGTGGTGTTAGGGTGGCTACTAGGGTGGTATATTGCTGAAGAAAATATATGCTAATGAATCAACAGAAAACAGTGAGATTTGGAACCCCAGATTCTTCATTGGGGCTGGATGAGTATTCAGAGCACTGAAGAGTAGAGCAAGCGCTCTCTTATATGTCGATTTCAATTGTGGACTGCTTGCTTTTGCAGATAAAAAGAAAGCTTTACTGTTATTTAGATTTCCCCTTTGCTGGAGATGGTTGGTTCTTGCTGATTTTCAGGTTGCAGAATTTCTAGGGATCTCCAGGTCGAACAACAGAATATGCATTGATCTTCTTTTAAAAACTTATCTAGTCCTATGGGGTGATGCCCAACCACGCAAAAAGAAGTGGGCAAGTAATGTCAAAACTGTATTTTGACTTAGAGATGTTTTGTCACAAAGCACACTAGGCAATTAATGCAGTCATATTACCTGGAGGTGGAGAATCACAGTGGTTTGAATACTGAGATGAAGGTCCCATCACTCATGGCTCCCTTGATTTCAGCACAGGGTACTTTTGCACAACTGCTCCCTGATAGAAAACTGTCATGCTGGCGGTTGAATGTCTTCTGCAACACAATATTGTCATGTGTTGGCCTTTGGTGAAACAATGAAATCAGTAATATATTTATTTGATGGGACCAATCAGTATGCTGAACATGAAGGAAGCAGACAAGTTACATATTCACAAAACCACAGAACGTGTTTGACCATCCACGCAAGATATATCTCTTAACAATGATTTCTAGTATAAGTCAAGTGAATAAAAATTGCATAGTCTGCAGGGGCACCATTTTGGATTTCATTAGGTAGAGGGGAGATAGAGGCTTTTGACTGACATCTGAATATAAACCCGAAGTGTTTGAGCTGTTGAAATCAGGTGTCAAAAGCCAATATATGCTGAGTCCCCTACATGTCATTGGGGTATGCATGCCAGTTTGCTACAGACCAGACCCATCACCAGCTGATTTTTCTGTGGTCACCATGCACTGAGCTGTGCTTTAGCCTTAAGTCTTAGTCTGCAAAGTGAAAAGAATAATTATTACCTTCGTCAACCCAAGGTTTTCTTAATAAGGGCCTTTAAGCATTTATATAGTAAAAGTATACTGTAAATAAGAAACATCTGCCAAGGAAGTATGTGCAGCTCCTGTGCACTCTGTAAGTTGGCCATTATCTCTCTTTCCCTCCCCGACTCCCACGTCCAATGCATACACAATTTGGTTACTGTTTGGTTATTATAATTGCAAGATGAGCTAACATTCTGAAGCGTCTTTGGGATTTGAGGCTTAGTTAAATATGCCCCTCCAAAAAAAGTAAAAAAGTAAAAAAAGTTCCCCCTTGCTTTTTTGATATAATACTTTTGTTATCACTGTATTAATAATTTCCAGGGCACTGTGGAAGACTTTAGTAAGCTGTTGCTGTGTCAATTTCACAGAGCTATATTTTTGTGCTCATTATTATTCTTGGATGTCTCTAATTTACATCTAAATGTAGTGACTAATTTTGATTCAATCATGTCAAAAGTGATAGGTAATGTGTGGGAGGAGATGACAGCCCTACCCATCAGGAATTGCCAGAATGTGAATTCCTTGGGGCAATGATTTAATGCCCAAGTCAGGCACTGCTGTCAGAATTGGAGGCCAAATTATGACACATTATGCTGTACTATGGACTTGCACATACAATACGTATGAAAAAGTGACTGAGATTGGAGTCATTAAACTATGCTTTAACCATTGCTACATTTCTCTCCCCATCTCCCTCTCTCTCTCGCTTGCCACATTTGTTCGGAATTCCTAATCGCAGTACAGAAAATCTCGTCTGTAACAACCAACAGCCCAAACCATTTGGGGAACCCCGTGTGATTAAAGCAGGTAGTAAAATGGTGGCACTTGATGTGTGTTTCTGCTTAGCCTTTTCTTTAAATCACTTACATTTTTGAAAGCAAGTGACATGTCAGCTAGATGTTCACAGAAAGGGCAGGTTTTTCTTTATTGCATCGTGCGCCTCCTCTCCACCCGAGAATTTAGAAAATCGACAACTGCTGGGCAACAACTCCCCCCACCCTCATCATAACTGTTAGGCTTTTTTACAGCAATGCAAAGGATGCTTTGCATAATGGATAATTCATTCTAATTATTACATTCTCTGTGCATTTCCTTTCTTTTTTTAGCTTAAGGGGAATTTATCTGTCAAATGTTGGACTTTCAGGTTAGAAATGAATAGCATTGTGCTCACAGATTTTAAAATATCATTAAGGTAGGGATGAGCTGTGAAATTATTTACTGTAAGTGACTTGTGCAAGGCTCATTGTATTTCATATGATTGCTCTATTAGTAGAGAAATAACTGCTTGTGATAGTGGTGGGCAACATCTTCAACGCTGCAAAGCGCATTGAAACCTTAGACTGAACATGCTGAGGACCACAGCAAGTTGCCATATATTTAAACAGAGACATTTGCTAAATGTGCAGACATATGATAAATGTTTTATATGAATATTGCATTTCTTTTGGGACACTGAATGAGCAAAGTTTTTTTTTTTTTGGTGTGTGTGTGTGTGTGCAGATCCAGCTGACGTGCTAACAACCCAATCACATTGAGTAATGCTTTTGTTTCTTCTGACTGGCTCTACTGAATAATCTAATTTCAAGAAAAATGAGCCCCTGTGGAAATGTTATTAATTTCTAGTGCTGAAGCTAAAAGGGGAGAGGAGGCCTAATATCATGACGGTAAAGAGTAGTGTGGTTAGAATCACTCTGGTGTAACATTTACTCCTGACTTTTTAAAATGTTAATTTAGTCTAGTTTTAATTTGATCTCCTGGAAGGGATTTTATAAAAGTGAAAAATAAAAAGGAAAAGGTGATACATAATTGCTTCATCTATCTAATGAATTAGGATTTCCTTTATTGTTTGACTTTATCAGTTCTGAATTAGTACCTTTTTACTTTGTTTGATAACACGAGAAGAATATTTTCTTCTATATTAAATCTCACACTCAGTGTAGTCCTATTTTCTCCCTTTAATATGTTTGATCCATTGTGCCTTTGCCTAAGATCTAAGTGTCTTCTGTTTTGGTATAATGATTTTTCATCACAACAGTACAGACATCATGCCTTCTTGATATTTTTTACTCAACTCTGCCATTCCCCACAAAAAATAATTTGAATGGGAGCCCAGTGGACTATAGATGTGACCGTCATAATTTCTGCAGTTGTTTCCTTTCCCATTTGAGCTGCCACAATGAGTAACCTGCAAGTGGGGCCTCTAGTTCTCACAAATAGTGCCTCCACAGTGCTGGGCTCCAAAGTGTAAACCACATGCTGCCCTCCAGATGTTGTTGGATACCAATTTCCATCATCCCCAGGTAGGCTTGGGGAAAGACCCTGGTTCACTCCACATTTTGAAGGAAACCTTCCCATTCCCCACCCTGGAATTGTGCAGAGCATTGATCTGTGGATTGCGCCATCAAACAAATGGACTGAACTGCACATGTATACCACTTATGAGGTGATCTGAGGGCTGCCTCTTTCTTTCTTTTTAATTTCACAAACATTTTAAGCTGCTTAGAGCAGCTCTGTAGCGACATTGTAAACAACAACCCCTTTTAAAATGTTTGCCGGAAGTGAATGTATGTCAAAATGTGCAGTCCCTTCTTGAGGAATTGTATGGGTTGAAATGTCTTCTGGGTACAGCCATCAGTATCTAATAGCAAGCGTTAAGCTACACAGTACACACACAGTAACAAAGCCACTGTGTTTTGTTTTTTGCTTGCTTGCTTGCTTTAAATGAAAGCAGGCCCAGGAGGCTGCAGTGGGAGGCAAAGAGGGCGATCAATCTTTTTCCCTGTTGGCCATTTTTCTATTAAAACTTTCCCCCAAGCTGATCTTTCCTCACTCCTGTGTGGCTGCAGATAGGGTAGGATGAGGAATGAACAGCTAAGGAATGATGTTCTGTGGGAGACTGTCAGTATGGAAAGGGTTAAGCCCCCACCCCTCTACTCAAATTCCAATCCTCATCTTTTTTCTTTTCTTTTTTGGAAATAAAGGCCACATTACAACCGCTTGCATGTCGTGTGTAGTTTTTATCTAGGCAATAAGAAAATAATCATACTCCATATACCACAAGGTGCCGTTTGGGAATTGCCAAGGATTATTGTTCTGAATGACTACATGAAATAAAATCAAGTTGTTGTGCCTCTCGTGGCCTTGTTGGGCTGGTCACCCTTGCTAATAATAGGTACACTTTCCCCTTAAAATCTTAGATTTAATTTGCATCAGGATGACTATTAAATAGCCTATTGTTCGGAGCAAGGGTAGCTAAACTTTGCTGTTTGACTAAAGGTCCCATGATCCCTGACTAACATCCCTGACACATCCCTGGGCTCCTTTGTGAGGAAAGGCAAGATCAGGGTGGACTTTGGTAATATGGTGCCCTGAGCAAGGACAAAATTTGCCTCCTCCATATAAATATCAAAATATTAAACATGTGTGCATCTTTTATGGGGCCACATAAATGTGAGTTCTTTCACTAAGTCACATTATTATGCCTTTTTTTTGCTGCTGCTGCTGTAAGTGATGGCTGAAAACTTATAGGAGGATGTTACTTAAAGAAAAGGGGGGTTTTGCTTTTTCTTTAAGAAAAACAGAAGCACCTGCCATTTCTAAGCTTGGTAAGATAATATCCTAAGCAGGCCCAGCCCAGCCTCCCTGACAGAGGATACAACTTGGCCTGTGTTTGTAGGCATGTTGAATCTACATTCAGAGTCTAAAGATAGCCTTGTGGTAGAGGGCTCTTCACTGCTATTAAACAAAGTGGGTGGAGTCTAAAGAACTGAAATTCCAGAGCTTCATTTTCAAAAGCAGACTGCTGTTTTTAAGGGACAAGAATGGCAGACAATGGCCATGAAGCTTAAGGGATACTCAGTTGTTTACAAAGGTGTGCATTGCACCCCCTTTTTTTTGAAAAGAAAATCTTTATTTTGAAATTGTGGCCCTGGTAGTCAGGGTGCATTATACTGAACCCTTTCTGCTTCTGATGCTAAAAACTAAAATGAGCATTAATTGCAAATGCCGTCACATGATTCAGCTCTCCTATATAGCCTCCATCCAAATTAGCTAAAATACAGAGGGTTTGATTTATTTCATTTGCAACGGTTGCACTAAAGGAAGGTAATTCCTTCTGAAAATGCTACATGCAGGCAGGAACAGGAAACCAATTAGGAATTAGTGGATGATAAATGGGCATTTTTACCAGCAGTTTACTTAATATCCCCATTAAATAAGCCTCTTTGCATTCATCATTTAATTTTCCCTCAGTCTATGAGGTTCTTTAATTGCTGCCTAAATGAGGCTTGTGTTGAAGTCCAAATTTAATCTTGGATCGGAAGAGAATGATCCTTTCCATTGCATGCCTTCCCAGTTGCCAAGAACTGTCAGAAGTGATCATGTAAATTTTCATATTTCTTAGAGTCTCATTGGAGAAATGGAAGAATGAGAAGAGTGTGTGCGTATGAGTGGCGGGGTGAGGAGGGGGGAGAGGGACTTTTTAAAAGATATGAACTGTAATGCAAGCAGCTTTTCCTGAATTGCATTTCCTTTTACTTTCTCTGCTTAACCCTGCACCAGAAAATTTACTGAAGCTGTAATGTTGCATGGCACTTTTTCATTTTGGAAAAGTTACTATGGGTAGAAATAGATGTGTGCCAGGACTAATGATGTGCTACAGAGTTTGTGCAGCAAACAATTACTGGATAGAGGCGACTGGGAGCATCATGTGCAAAACATGCGATTTGCAAGGAGAACATTGCGTTTAGAACTAAGAAGTGATAGAAAATTATAAAAGACCCCAGAGCGGTGGCCTCAACCTGCCCTTTTTATTTTTCCTGTAAGACGAAAAACTTAAAAGAGTCAGAGAATTGGTCTCTAGAGACCAATAAGTGATTTAAATCCTTGCGGTGTTTATTTTATTTTATTTTTATTTCGGAGGTTTCTTTCCCACCATGGGCCACAAGAGAACTTTCAGAACACCAATAAATTTCAAAAGGTGACCAATCCTATAGGCTGAATGCAAATTTGGTGTGATATCATTTCTTGATGACATAAAATATGAAAGGATTGCATTTTAAGGACATTGTTACCGCTGTGATTTTGGAAATCGGTATTTGTAAACTACAAATTATTCAATTAACCAAAATAAAATGTTGTCAGTTTTGTAACATGGAACAGTAGCTTCAGTTGCGCGGTTCCTTTAGTCAATGTCGCTGACGGCCATCTAGCTGCAAGGCAGTGATGAAGGTGGAACTAACCCCAAGATAGGAGATACCATGGCAGTATTTCGTAAATAACCTGTTGTGGCCCTTAACTGCTGTAATTTCTCAGCGTGTGGGAGCTTGAGTGAACATGCTAGACACAAATCCTAAACACAAAAAGTGTTAAACTGAAAGTGTTTTCTGTTGTTGTTAATTTGATTACATTTTGAGAAGGATACGCCTGCAACACTTGACCAGGCAAACATGAAACTGAAAATGAGAAACTCAGTGGACAAAGACATGAAGAAATAACCTCACTAATAAGAAACCGCACACCATTTCGAAGAGCATGGATTGCCAACTTTTTTTTCCTAGCTGGTCTCCTGTGTCTTCAATGTACAGTGGTACTTTTGGTTACAGACGCTTCAAGCTACAGATGCTTCAGGTTACAGACTCTGCTAAGCCAGAAATAGTACCTCGGGTTAAGAACTTTGCTTCAGGATGAGAACAGAAATCATGCGGCAGCAGCAGAAGGCCCCTTTGGCTAAAGTGGTACCTCAGGTTAAGAACAATTTCAGGTTAAGAACGGACCTCTGGAACAAATTAAGTTCTTAACATGAGGTATCACTGTAGATGCCTACTTTTAGTGGCTGTTGCTGCTTTTCTCTTTGTAGCAGACAGTTTGTTGGCAGACAAGGGTTCATGTTGGTTCCCATGCTCTACAATCACCTTGGCTAAATTCTGCATGTTGTATAGTTGTTAAAGGCACAGAAATAAGGCCAGCTGAGGGTTTTCAGGTCAGTTGACAAGTGTAACCTTTAAAGAATGCAATGAGAAAAGAGAAAATTTAGGAAATAAAGCTCAGAGTCATAAAGTTGCCCCCTAAATCTCCCTCCCTTTTATTCTTGAACGTTCTATTGCACCTTCAAAAGCCCATCAAAAATCCAGACACTGTGCACCTCAGATAAATTATCTCCTCCATGCCTCATCTTTACTTATCCTCTATAATTATTTCTCTCGATTTCCATTCACACCTATCTGCAAACTCATTGACCTACCTGAACTGTAAACTCTTCAAGCTGAGCCCTGGTATGTAAGAATCTACCCTAGCAACAGCAAACTTTTATACTTCCAGAGGCTAAGATTGGCCATAAAATATTGCCTAGCAACAGCAGGATAAGCCAAGTCCATTGAGCAACATGGGTCAGAAAAAATGCCTTTTTAATAAAATAAAATAAAACCTAACAGTATGTTACACATTTCATGGGTAAAGTCACACACTAGATGTTCCCCTTGACCCAAAACAACAAGCTGCTTCCCAAAACACACAGTACTAACAAATATGTCTTGAAAATTCATCCCATTAAAATCTATGGAAGTTTAAATTCACAATCCCTGTCAACATGACTGAGTATCGTTGAGCATTTAACTATACTAGAACAGGGTATTTCCTATCCTTTCTATCCCAAAATCCAACATGGACTTCCCTCAAACCTTCTTCTCCTACACTGCTAGTTTTTTAATCAATTTGTTGACCAATTTTCAAACGATAAACCGTAGAACCTATTGTACCAGACATTTCTCATTATAATGGTGGAATGAGATTCAACGGAATCATCCTTAATATTAGGGCCAAATCTGTGACACTTATATAAATACATTTAAAAATATAGTTTCCTTTCTCTCTCTTTTTACTTTTCCCTCCCAGTCCCTTTCTGTCTATTCTACAAGCACATTCTGTCACTTTTGAACCAGCCTGCTCTGCCTGGTTCTCAATCCATGCAACATTCCATTCCACCCTATCCACCTTCTTTCAAAACACCTTTATGCTATTTGTGTGTGGGGTAACACCCTTACGATGCCCCATTGACTAACACTGGTCACAAAAATGCCATTTTCAATATTTTAATGTTGTATTTTTAAATTTTGTTTTTAAGTTGTAATCATTTAAGTTGTTTTTATTATTGCTTGTAAGCCGCTCTGAGCCCGGCCTTGGCTGGGGAGGGCGGGGTATAAACAAAAATTATTATTATTATTATTATTATTATTATTATTATTTTAACAAAAACTAGAAACATGTTATGTTACTCATAGACATTGCCCTTGATCTAACAACAACAAAACATTTCTCAAAAGACACAGAAACTGAGAAACCTTTTAGAAAACCACAAGCAAGCCCATGGAAGAAAAATGCACAGCATCTGTCAATATAGCAGAGTCTTTTGTCAAATATTTGACTCCTTCACAATAACCCATTTCTTATCCTTTCTATACCAAATTTGGCCATTCTGAAGCACACCTGTCCAACACTGCCAGGTCTCAAATCAGTCAATTGAACCATTTTCTGACTAAAAGCCATCAATACTCCCCCCCCCACTTTCTCATTATAATGGCAGAATGAGAATCAACTGACTCACTCTTAATAGAGGACCACGACAGTGGCTTCCCAATTGGGTAAATGTGATGCAGCTCACAAAATTATCCCTTGCCAAAATTAATGAGTGGATTTGGGTCTAAAAATTGGTTGATGAATGAGATGACTAATGAGGTATCATCTGTGGAACAGGAGAATATTTCAGATTAAGACATTTCACTTGTGTCTTGGCATAGTCTTGCAATAAGTAAATTTCAGGTAGAAATGTTCATAGCAGGACAGCGTTGTACACTATCCTCATATTCACCTCTAATTATAGATTCTCATATGTATGTTTTAGCTCATTTCTTTATGTTTTCTGGTTTGAGTAATTTCAAATTGTTTGTACTGACACTAACCTATGAGAGAGGAGGCTAATAGTAAGGTTTCAACATATGGGGGCTATTAGTTTAGGAGAAAAAATGGTGAAGGGAGGACATGATAGAGGTGTATAAATAATTATGCCTGGTATGGCATAATACAAAATTTTTGCGCCATCCATTGAAGCTAAAAGTTGGAAGATTCAAGACAAATGAAAGGACTTCTTCACACAGTGCATAGCAAAACTATAGACTTTGCTGCTCTCTCGCGCTCTCTCTCTCTCTCTCAGCAGTGATGGCCACCATCTTGGATGGCTTTAACAGAGGATTAAACAAAGTCATGGAGGAGAGAGAGCTATCAAATACCAGTTGCTGGAAATCAGAAGTAGGGAAAGTACTGTTGTGCTCTACTGCTGCTTATGGGCTTCCAAAGACATCCTGGAGCAGATGGACCTGTGGCTTCCCACAGCCTGCAGCTTTAAAACTATTTTAAAACAACATTGGCTTCTTTAAGGCAATCTCATTTAATCAAGGATCATGTAGTGAAACGGATGGTTGCACATTGTCACACTAGGAATCAGTCTGAATATGTGACAATGTTACGAGGGAAATCAGAGTAGGAACGGGGCTTTGTATTTACTCTGAATAGGCTTCCAATCTGGATCCAATTTGGCATTTGTGGTGATGTCATGAAGCCAAGCCAGAGTAAGATTGATGCTTTCTGCCCTCACTCTGAATGGACAAATATTTTCATAGTATTTCACATTCTCCCCTACCATCTTCAGCAGTGTACATTTTATGGCATATAAGGTTTTTCACAACCCAGCTGTACAGACAACTAAAGCATAATAACTGACAGTTGGATGTCATGCTTAGGCATATCCTGAGTGTTCAATGGACACTACTCACATGTTTCTGAGCCTCTGCAGCTACAAATCCTTTACGTTTTTTAAAAAATATGTAAACCGAGATTCTTATTCTGAATTAGGAGCCAGGCTGCTTTGAATCTCATTGAAATTAATGTGATTTTAAGTTTACTGCTTAATGTTTTCAATAGGATTTTTCTCTGGTTTGTTTTATTTTTATCAGCCTGGGTGTTATGCTGATGTAGAACAGCAATATGACAAAACAAATTTGGAAGGAGATAAAATAAAAATTGCACATACATGCTTTCTCAATAATACAAGTAATATGATGCTTCGTGTTAGAACAAGAGGTTTTATGGTGGCCATTAAAATAAATGTAAAGATATTTTCCAGTATAAAAATCAGGTTAAGAAGGAGAAAAATCCAAAGAGTATTTTATGTCCAAGGTGGTGCAAAATTAAGGGGAAGTGCCTGCATGTGTGCTCGTGCCATTAGGATTCTCTGTAAGTAGAGTGGGTGTATTTATGTAATAACCCTTGCCATTGATTTATCTTTGAGTGTGTTTCTTCCAGTCCCACCCCCCATTTTGTCCCATTTCTAATGTGCAACAATAATTAATTTGTATATTGGCAATTCCCCCCACTCCGTGTTCCAGGATAACAGTGTTTGCACAAGACACATTTAAAACTTCTTGACTGCAGTTTCTTGAAACTGAGTCCTTTAAGCAAGCCAGACCTCAGCAAATAATACCTGACTGGGCTTATATTGCATCAATGTCTGACTTTTAGTAAAACTTAAATATATTTTTCTAAACTGTTCACCCACTCAGCAGGCATCCATCACGCTTAACATTAAACGATGATGATTCAATAACCGGTTACACACTGCTCTGGTGAGTTCACTCAACCAATCACATTGTATGCTGTTCTGCTAACACCTATAAGCATGTTTGCATCGGGAATGGAATTACTAGAGATTTAGATGTACAAGGCCTTGTACATAGTTCATTCTTCCACAGGAAAGCTTGGCTGGCAGGGTAGAGCCAGTCATGAATTATGACTTTGCTCCCCAGCCAACTGTAAACAGGTTTACCTCCACCACTCTCAAAAAAAGAGCCAGGCCAAATGTGACATAGGAGATCTGTAATTAGGATTTTTCCATGCCCTTTCTCTGATGTACCAGCCCAAAGCTTCTTTTAGTTCTGTGAGTGGTGGAGAGAGTCAGGTACAGATCCTTTGAGCCTTTAATAGCTATATGCCTTGCAGAAATTCAACCGATGCCATTTTACCAGCATGGAGATGCTGTGATAATAAATGACGGATGTTTGAATTTCTGCCTGTCGTGCAACAATTAAAGGCACACAATGTCTATTAGGAATGCCAGACCTAACTGTAAAGTATGGCCTGTGTTGCAAATGAGCTGATTCTGTCAGCTTGTGAAGGTAAAGGGCATCCCAAATAAATGGCTGGATCCTACGTACCCAGTGTAAATTATGTGACTAGTAAGATGTCTGGTTGCCTTTGAGTTTCTTAGCCAAATACCAGGGCTGGAGTCTTTGGGAATGAGAGTCACTTAGGGCAAAGTGGTTCAGGAGCAGCAAATAGCAAAGGCAAACTTAGGAGAGCATGACTGGTGTGGTTGCATGGGGTGCCACAACTTCTGGGGTGCCACAACTATGATATCCAATGGAAGGCAAGATGGGGGGTCTGTATTTTGGCATTGCACAAGGCACTGCTGAAATTTGAGATGCCAGGGTTCACCACCGGTAGTGGTTGGTGTAAAGAAAAAAAGTGGACAGAGCCAACAAAAAATTGACCCCTTATTCTCTCTCATCAAAGGTTTATAAAAGGTTACAAAGTAGCTCTCCATGCCTTGGCAGCTTAGAAGATTAGCGTGAAAGAATGAGATAAATTAGCAATTAACTGCAAAGGGGACTCGGAGATTTGACTTGTATAGTTTATATGATAATTACCTCTCATCCTATGTAACAAAGAATTTTTGCAGATTTTACGGTGGTTTTATTGTAGTGATTGTTGATGGTGCCATGGCCTTTGGCTAGTGCAATAAGGTTTATAATGCTCTGGTAAGTTTCCAAAACAATGTAAAAATATAATCAAAACAGCGTGCTCTTACTACTTACTGGCCAAGAGACAGAAACCTGGTACAGTGGTACCTCGGGTTACATACGCTTCAGGTTACAGACGCTTCAGGTTAAGTACTGTTTCAGGTTAAGAACGGACCTCTGGAACGAATTAAGTATGTAACCCAAGGTACCACTGTATATGGCTGAACGCCACGGTATTCAACACGTACTCTGAAAACAGTTGGACAAGAGTGGGGTTTTGTATTAAACAAATCTGTTGGTGAGTCCAAAGGCATTAAATTATCTCTGGTATGTTTGGGAAAGGGTCAGTGTGTAGTGGCATGGGGCATACTTTTAATGCAAAAGGTCCCAGATTTAATATGTGGCATTTTTGGTTCAAGCAATTGGGTACCAGGTGAATATGAAAACACCCTCTTTCTGCCTGAGAACCTGGAGAGCCTTTAGTCTAGGCAATACTGTTCTGGATGGACTAATAGTTTGACCTGGTAGCTTCCTATGTTCCAGTGCTTCCCCCACCAGCCTCTACTAATTGCTTCCCATCCTTTAACTCTTATTGTTACTGCACAATAAGTGGATAGAAAAGACAGGTGTTTTTGGCTCATGCAAGTAGGAACTGTGTTGTGAGGGGGATCTTTTACCAATAGTTTTAGTCAAAGTAACTCAGTTCACACACAGTTGTTACATGAGAAGATAATTTTAAAATGGTAAGGGTTTTTTCTGCCCCAAACTGTATTCTAAGTAGGGATGGATGAATCTGTCATTTTCAGTTTCTCATTTTTTTCCCAATTTTTAAGTTCAGTTAGCTACATTTCTGCAGCAGTTTGTATATTTTTTTTAAGTCCTCATTAAAATTCAGGGGCTTTTTAGTATAAATTTATCCCACTATACACAATTTTTGTGGAATTTTGCTTTGTATAATGCACCTTTGTGTGTTATTTTCATGAATATGTGCATTTTTATGTACACTTTCCCCCGTATATACATTTGTGGATTGAAGAACTGCATTGCAAAATTGCGAGAAGTAGTGATTTTGAAGGAACGCTGTGTTTCAGTTCGCTTTGGGAAGTTTGTGAAACAAAACCAAATTTCTCCCCTATTTCTAATTCCAACCAGATGATGAGGATGAAGATTATTATTATTCTCTCCACTTTTACCTGACTATTTACACTCTCAAGCATAGCTGTCTATTGACATTTGGATTTTTTAAATTTTTTGTCTGTTGCCCTTGACTGAGTTTGTTGATTGGTGTCCGGCTGTGATAAGGAAACTGGAGATAAAATCAGGAATTGACACCATGTTGCCTTGCTCACACTTGAGCAAAATGGAGTCTAAGCTTTTTAGTCATCATAGGGCATTGCAAAGCTTTCACTGCTCTGAACTACCTCACTTGCTCCAGCCTGAGTACTGAGGCTCTCTCTATGTGCAAGTTTACATGAATAACGGAGGACCAACTGACAGATGTGCCTAAATGAATAACCAAAACTCGAAAGCCGGTCGATACTCACGTCCCATAATTTGATTCTTTCCTTTCTTCCTTTATTGGTGATGTAAAACGATAAAATGCTTGAATGTGCTGAATTTGATTTTAATAAAGTAAGTAATACAAGTAGTATTGATTGGAAAACTAATGGCTCTCACCCTCTGAGCATACGTTAATATTCAGAATTGTGTGTGTATAACTCTACTCAAGATCCACATTTCCACTTTATATTGATGAAAGTGATATAATGCAGAACTTACATAATATATTGAAAGCAAAGTAAAGATCCATAATTCTGGATAGTAACTGAAACTCCTTTTTTTTCTGCTGGCAATTATTTCTCAGCCCACCCCACAGATATCTTCAGAAAACGTCTTCAGAATTTATTCTTTCTTCAATTTTTGTGCTTTCACTTATCACCTAAGGGACTACAGCTGGCTATATATTGGAGACTTTGAAGAAATGGAGAGTGAGGACTTTGTGGGAACAAGGGAGGGGAAATGTTTCTGGCTTTCCAGATGACAGAGCCTCTAGATCTTCCCTTAAAAACCCCCACATTATAGAAAATCCTGGTACTAATGAATTAATGAAAATGTCTGTAGCTTCAGATTAAAGGATGAACTAAACTGAACCACACTGACTGAGCCACATATACCTTCCCTCCTGTAACCTCTTAAATTATCACTACATTACCTGTATGTTTCTCTCCAAAACTGTTTCTCCCAAGCTGTTTTCTTCTCTAGGAGGGATTTGCCATTAGTCTTGGGGTAATTTTCAGAATAAAAGCACAGCGCGAGAAGAATTCAACAGCCCTTTGCCCTAGGAATGGCAACAAGAGAATGGGCCTTTTCTGTGGTTTCTCCCCAGTTGTGGACTGCTCTCCCCAGAGGCTCGCCTGGTGCCATCATTGCATGTCTTTAGGTGCCAGGCAAAAACATTCCTCTTTACTCAGACCTATGGCTATCAAATAATCTATGCCCTGTGAAAGTGTGGGGGAGAGGACTGTTATAATGATGACTATTTTATTATTATGGTCTCTGTCAGTATTCTTTTCATTTTGTTTTTATCATTGAGGTTCTGTAATGTGTTTTTAATGTTGTACAGCTCTGGGATTTTTTGATAAAGGGTGGTATATAAATTGAATTTATTATTATTATTATTATTATTATTATTATTATTATTATTATTACTACTACTACTACTTTGTTCTCTCAGTTTCTCAATCTTCCAGTCTTAAATTCAGCTCTGCACATTTTGCAGCAATTTGTGGGTTTTGTTGTTTTAAAAAAACACCTCATCAGCAATTTAGTGATAATAAACATTTTTAAATGCAATTTTGACCCACATACACATTTTTGAAGCAAATTTTCTCTACTATAATGCATTTTTGTGTGTTATTTTCACAATATATTCATTTTCATACACACGTTCCCCATTTCCCCCCTATACATTTCCATCCATAATTTTAAAGAATAACTCTTGTTTCAAGAAAGTGCAAATTTTATAGATACCTGAAACCAAAATCAAACTTGGGAGAAATTCAGTTAGGTTGCTCTTCCTGAAACGGTTTGCAAATCAAAACGCAGCTAACCTTCAAAATTCACATTTCCCTGAATGCACATCTCTCCAGCCAAAATATGTGCACAAAAATGTGTATATTAGAATCAAGTGCGCATAAAATACATTATACTGGTGAAAATAACATGCAAAAATGTTTTACATATATTAGACAGGATTTCACACAGATAGATATAGATATAGATATAGATATAGATATAGATATAGATATAGATATAGATATATGAATGAAACATTGCATCAAAGTGCGAGTGCACTTTTGTGAAGGTTAAAAACAAGTAGACCTGAAAAACGATTCAGAAACATGACAAACTGAACCAAAGACTGGAGACCTGAGAGACCTGCACTTTAAAATCTCTGCTTTATAGGGATCTGGTGGCAACCCTTTTTGGGCACGTGGGGCCTGCTGTCATAGGCCCTAAACCCGTCACTTTTTCTAAAGAGGTTCAGGTAAATTCTCTGATAATGAGGCCCTTGCCTAAAAACAAGTGTAGAGAAATAATGGTATTTGAATCCTGCCCAAAGATTTTTTTTCTCCAGGTTTCCTGCTCTCGTGCTGTCTCTCACAGTCAGATCATCAGCAGTGAGGGATTAAAGTCTCTCGCTGTAATGCTCAACCTTCTTGCTGAATGAATAACATGATTAAGGTATATGTGGAAGTGGAGTGACAGTAGCAAGTTCCATAGGTACAAACCCCCTCAGGGGCTGTGCTGCAATATACAATGATTTATTCGGCACCTATTTGCATGCAACCAATGCCTACTAAACCTGCCAAACATTTCTGTGAGGAAACTCACTAGTTGTCTTGATGGGTGAGGCAGCAGGAGTCGCTCCTGTGAGCTGAGAGCAGCTGTTTTGCTTAAAGAGCTCCAAACTGGCAGTAGGAGGAGGGAGAGTGGTAGGTTCTGTACATTATGTGTAGGATAATGGCTCCCATTTGCAACCACTTTGTTTGTGGGTCTCAGGCGGTTGGACCCTTTCTCCGAGTTTGTAGAATTCTCTTTTCCAAATTCTCCTGTACGTGTGTGACAATTTCCCTCCAGACTTATATTATTACCACAACATCACACACACACACACACACACACACACACACGTATGCTTATAATCTTTGGCCAGAGCAAGTTCCCTACTCATGGCATTTGTGAGAGAAAAGAAGCGCCATGATGTGGACAGCCTTCACCCATAATTCATTTCAGAGCCACAATGTTGGAACAGAAAGGACAGCTTTGTTGAAACTGGCAAAACCAGGCAATTACTTACTTACTTACTTACTTACTTGCTTGTTGTTTCTAAGAAGGGAATGCCCTTCTTTATAATCCCATCTTCCCATCTCCCATCAAAATGTTCCTGTGTGAGGGAATTTTTCTGAGGGGAAACACCTGCCGTCTACAAAGGACTACTCTGATTCTCAGATAACTTGAAGTCTAACTTTTCCACAGTTCTCGTGTAAAAAAGAAACACAAATACTGTATTTTCCCGTGTATAAGACAATGGTTTTTGCTATTTTTTTAGTAAAAAATTGTAGGTTGTCTTATAATGGGTGGCGAATGTACAGGGGTTAAAGAAAACACTACTTACCTTTCAGCGACGCTCATGAAGAAGCTGCTGGAACCGCCAGAGACACTCTCCATTGAATATTTGTTCCGGTGCTTTGAATATTTAATAAAATATCAAAGTTCAGTTTGATCTTTAAAGTATTGATTTCTTAATTTGGGGTTCCAAAAAACAGGGGTTGTCTTATACATGGGGGCATCTTATACAAGGAAAAATATGGTATGTAAGACAGAAAGAAAAGGGCAAAGCAAATTTTTCTTTTCATTTAAGGGGCTGATTTTCCCCGCCAACTTCAGACAGGAAAAAGGCATCACTTCACAGGCCTGGACTTTGCTTTTTCCTGAGCATGCTCTGGCAGGAGACAGGACACCAGGTGTTGCTGTGGTAACCAAACACTCACGGGTAAAATGTAGACGGAACCAAAATAACTGTAAAGTATTGGGAATGCATTGTGGTCAACACTGTGGTCATGTAGGGGGATTACAGAAATCTCTCTCCCTGCCCCATTGTCACAGTAAGTGTTATTGTGCTATTTACCTCATACATACAGAAAGGAAACTAAATATATGTCCATCAGTTATATAAAAATGTATTTATTTAACATTTATATACCACTTACTTGCAAACAAAAACCTGTAAGCTATTTGCCAAGAATACAAACTATCCATTAAAAGTGTAAATAAAAATCAATGGAAGTTTATATGTATATATGAATAACCAACAGTTAAACATATGCATTATAAGGTAAAATTGCAGATTGAAATATATGTCAATTTTACATGTCTGGATAGACTTGCCATACAGTTTGTTTTTAACAGGCGCTGAAAAAAATACAGGGGAGTCATCTGATTAATGTCAGTGGGCAAGGAGAGAGCTTCCTTACAAGTGCAGAATAAACATTATATGACACTTATAAAAGTGCCACTGATTGAAGTGACTGTGTTGTCATATATAGGGTAAGGAGTGGGTAAATGTTTGAATAATAGAGTACCCTATTTATTGACAAACATGCAACCAAGCCTACTGACCCTTCCTTTGAGTTCCTGAGGCAAGTTATTGTGTGACCTCATTTCAATGCGGGGTTACACAAACAGTTTGAGGCAAGCCATTAAAAACTGCACTAAACCGCTCCCACATGCATAAAACCTATTGACAGTTGCAAAAACTCAGCAATGTATTGGGGAAGACCCCTGAAGGCCCCAAATCGTGGTACATTGGAGAATAGTGTGTGGCTGATTGGCTGTTCCAGGACTAGGGTCTAGTGAAAAACAAGAACACAAAAAGCAGAACTCCCAAGTTCCTGTGCTGCAGCTAAAACAGCTTGTTTGTCATAGTTGCAGCATGCACAGTTTAAAGCTTGATATTCAGTGGAATAAAATGTATTACATAGGATGTAATGGTAGCCAACTTGTCACCACCTGGGAAAATAGGTATGCCTAATCCCAAGTTCAAATTTCAGTATCCATCAGTAGTTCTTGCTAAAGCAAATACATTGATGGTTGATCAGCTAAATGCGCAATTGATGTTTATTCACATAATTATCCACCCACTTATCTTGCCGTGCTCAATTATAATTAAATCACCCTCTGCGATGCACCCACCAATAGCACAAATGGAATAAGCAGTCACATTCAAGCCATTCACTACTCTTGTTTGCAAACTGCTTAATGTGAAGTTGGCATGCTTTGACATGGACAGAACTCTTCTTTTTCGAGGCTGATACAAGGCAGAGCAGTTTGCACAGAACAAATTGCCTACCTGGTACACATTCACCTGTATTAAGCTTGGCTTGATATGGACTGTACAAGATTTTCTCCAGTTAATCCTTCTGTCTAAACTACTGAAATCTAGAGTGCTTGATCAAAGTTTCCCATTGTCCCTTGGCAGAATACTCCCACAGAATAGGTTCCAGGATGTGGTCTGAAGGCACATGGTATTGCAATCTTGATTTGGCTAGACTTGGCCAGTTCCTTGATGGGAAACTACTTGGAATCCCCATGTACATCACTTTGAGTTCCATCATAAAAGAAGACCCAATTGTCATTTATAGACAATAATCAAAATAAGTGGCTTCCTAGTAGAAGCAGGTCCCTCAGATTGTGACTCTTATATCCTATTGCTTTTTCCCTTTTTGCTGTTTATTTTCCTGATTTACAGTCAGACACTGACTCCTGTATTAAGATGCAAGAAGAAATTGATAACATTTAATATATTTGCGCACACACATATTAGGAACACAAGAAAAGTCCTCCTGGATCAGACCAAAGACCTATCTTGTCTAGCATCCTACTGCCCACAGAATCCACCCAGATGCACCCAAGAAGACCACAAACAGATCCTGAAGTCAATACTATAGTCCACTTTGCTATAGTTCCTCGGCAGTTATTATTGTAGCTTACTGCTTCCAAATGTGGAAGCCCCGTTATAGCTATCTTGACTAAGAGACATTGATAGACCTATACATTTGCCTAATCCAGGAGTGAGGAACTACTGGATCTGCAGATGCTGCTGGACTACAACTCCCATCAGCCTCAGGCTAGGGATGATGGGAGTTGTAGTCCATCAATATCTGGAAGGCCACAGATTCCCCATCCCTATTTTAATACCATTTTAAAACACGTCTTATGACAACCAATTCCGCATCTTAATTTATGTGTTGTGTATTGTATTGTGTAGTGATATTGTTCATTATTCTATGTATTTCTTTGTGTCCTCAGTTTGGACTCATTGCAGCTTTCTGCTGAAACCACTAACTGCAGCGTTATGTAAACGTCAGCCTGCTTTCGTTATGGAATTTATTTAACACTTCAAGTCTTAAACGCCACCTTTATTTTGCCAATGGCGTTTTGTCCCAGCAAAAAAAAAAAAAAAAAAGTTTTTTATTAACATTTCAAAGAAAACTTTAGAGGGGAGGTTTCGAATTATTGAGCTTGCTTTGCATGAGATTCTTTGACTGGAGACATTTTTAATCAAATTACTTCTTTTTTTTAAAAAAAAAGAAAAGTTGGGCAACAGGAACAAAACACTGGCAACAGTATAAGGAGAGCTGTTGAAGGATTGATGACATGTTCAATAGGGCAGCAGAAGAGGTGGCATGAGCAAATAGTAGCTTTCGTTTATGAAACAGCTGCTGATAGGCGTCTTGCATATTCACAGTCTGTGGGCAATACAATCAAAGGGTGGCAACATAGTGGTATGTTTCCACAATCCTCTCCACAAAAGGACTGTGCTGGTCTTTTGGGGAGGTGTGACATCTGTATTTGCTAAAAGAAAAAGTTTTAGTTTTAAAAACAGCGTCTTTATGGCTGTTCGTACAAGTGGCCACAGTGGTTGACATTTTACATTAATGCAGTGTGAATATATCGATATGTCCATTTGCCCATCCAAACACACACACATGCATACAGGCGCCTCCCCACTTAGGGTTCACACATGACTACATATACATGTGGCACCAGGAAATAATTAGATAAATCAATTTAAAGTGCAAAAACGGACTCCCCAAAGCAGGAAAACTACAAAAATGGTGGGAAAAGAGTGGGAAAAACTGCCTAAAGAGAAGACTGGCCCTTCAAATGTAAACTAATATAAGCTTATGCTAACTTCATTCTAATTAATCCTTGTTCTTAGCATAGGGTAAGTGATCAGATTGCTTTTCAATCCATTGTCGTTTCTCATATGAAATGCAGACGCTACAATATTTCTCCTGAAAATAGTTTAGTACTACAGCTTGTAGAGAGATAATTCCCTGATCTCCTCTCAATGAATGATGGTTTTACCGCACATGTGTGTTGCTGTCAATGTTGACATGGGGATAAATGTTTGCAAGCAAGCAGCAATAAAGCAACACCAGTGACCTGTACATTTTCTTTCCATGTGTTCACACATTGTATGTCATAACTGAAAACCTTTGCATGGAGATTTGATTTTTAAGGTTTTCAAACCACTTCGTCAGTTACTGTATAGCATTTCCTGTGGTATTATAGGAACACTAACTTTGAAAATAAAGAGAATTTCCTGTCAGACAGCAATCATCATCTTACAGAACTATCATTCCTTTGACTTCTTTTCAGCAAACTGGTTAAAGAGTATTATAGTGCAGATGCCCTCATGGTTTCAGATCTAAACTCCCCATATATAAAATGGACAGCTTAAATCCCTCGTGATACAGTTTGTCCTAGAATCTATCTCTGCTTTCATTTACAGCTTTCATTTTTAAAGCCACTAATGTAATCACTACTTAAAAGCATGAACGTCTTTCTTCAAGGAAATAATAATAATTTTCATTATGCTATTTTCCTTTTTTTAAAAAAACAACCACCACCACCCTAATTGTACCATGTTTTTGACAGCTAAATAAATGGATTTTATTAAAAAGATGATTATAAACTCAGATTATTTAGTATTCCTTTTTTATTATCTACTGTTGACTCTACTGGGAACTGCGAGCTTCTTTTCTTCATTTCCAGCATTGATTCTTGCATTAGACGGTTACATTGAATAATTAATATACTTCCAGTGATTGATGATTTGCATGGCCTGAATATTAGGTTATCAATCACAGCCCACTTGTTCTAATGTAATCATATTGAAAATGTGTCAAAAGCTGTTTACCTGAGGATGACAACAGAAGCAAGCAATGCTCAAGGTGCGCCAAGCACTTCAGCAGGAAATAGCCTGGTTGAACATTCATAATGCAGAGATTATGAGTTCCTCAAATTGATGTAACAGAAGCCTGGAGCCCTTGGTGAGAGTTATCAGTTCCAATAAAAAAAGCCCTTTTTTCAGTTGGAAAATAGTCCTGATTCTTTTGCCTTTTATCAGCTGCTTAGTGACTCTGTTAGACTACAGTGGAAAGTAATTATGTTCAAAGCTGTGGAGTGGAAAGAAACTTCTTTAAATACAAAAGGCAACAGAAATGTTTTGAAGTGGGAACAATCGCTGCCATTCTTTAGGCCTCATGGTGGCTTCTTTTGGCTCTCTTCCTCCGGAGATCACCCACTAATACGGAAATTCTGCACTTGAGACAAAGTGGCTCAGTTTGCTGCTGTTTAGGTTGCCCTGTTCATAGCACTCACCTTGCAGCCCTACCTAATTGGCCATTGAGACTCTGACTGGGTGATTCTCCATCTCCATGCTGCACCCCTTACCAACTCCACCTTGCACCTTCCATGAAGGTTTTTACTTGGCCAGAATGTGTCCTTGAACTCTGGCAATGCTTCCTTCCTTGCTTGCATGCATGGATGGAGGGTGTGTAGAACAAAACTGCGAAAGCATTCCTGAAGGCCAGGAAACACCATCTTGGTGGTCAAGATAATCCAGGGACTTATTTGCTGCAAGCATGTGCTCTCATGTGTGTTTATTTGCTTTGATGCTTTGGAACCTTAGTTTTGGTTCAGTT